CCTGCGGCGGTTCCCAAGGATGGAGTCGCATTATTGCCGTGCAAGCACTGCAAAGGAGTATCTGCACCCAGACCTGAACCTTAGAAAAAATGTACTCCATGTTTCTAGAGCAGTACCATGGGACTGACCCCTCCAAGTTTCAGTACGTACAGTCGAGTGTTCAAAAAAGCAAATCTGGCGTTCCACACCCCCAAAAAAGACCAATGCTCACTGTGCACAACGTTCTTTGAAGGGGATGAAACAACAAAGGCTGAACTCAAGGACGCATTCGAGAAACATGTCTCTGAAAAGAAAAGAGTAAGTAAAGGAGGAATGCAAGCAACGGGCATCAAAGGATGAAACAGTTCTGAGTGCTACATTCGATCTGCAGCAAGTAATCTATCTTCCCATCTCGAATGAAAGTGCTTTGTTTTACAAGCGGCGCTTCTCCAACTACAACCTGACTTTTTATAACCTTGGACGTACTGACTGCCACTGCTTCCTGTGGAATGAAAGCCAAAGCAAGCGTGGAAGCTCAGAAATATCCACAGCTGTGTTCGAAGCGCTTCAGCACTATGACAGTTGTGGTAAAAAGATAGCATACCTCTTTTCGGATGGCTGTCCGGGGCAGAACAAAAACACTATCATTCCAACAATGTTGCTATACTCTGTGAACACACTTCCAAATCTCAGAGAGATCTCCCAGCGGTTCTTTGTGACAAACTACGGCCAAATGAAGGGGGACTCTGTTCATAGCACTATCTCCTCTGCGATGTCTGCAGCTGGGAACGTCTATGTACCAACAGAGCTGACGCCCATATTCAGACTTGCCAGACCAAAGCAGCCTTACACCGTGATGCCGCTTGAGTTCTCTGACTTTTGGAATTTCAAGCAATTGTCACTCGACCTGCGTGTTCTGGGAGTTCAAAGAGATTCAGAGAGTGACACTATCAACTGGAACAAAATGATGGAGTTCAGAGTTCTGAAGGAGTGCCCAACAACAATATTCTTCAAAACCAGCCATATTGAGTCAGATTACAGAACAATCCAATTGAAGAGACACACAAAGCAAACCACAGAGAGTTTCACTCTCTTCAAACTCAACACAGAACCAACCAAAGTTCCAATGGCTAAGTACAATGACTTAGTGTCGCTGTGCTCTGGCGTAACGCCTGTGGTAAGACAAGCTGATCACAAGGCTTTCTATTTTTCACTTCCCCATTAAATTTGACTGAGATATTCTTGGATATTCATAGTGTTACTTACTGATACATCTACATTATGTGAATTGCTGTCCAACATGGTTGCAGTTCAAATGAGCTAAAACGTCTCCAAAATATGTCTTTATTTGTTCAAATTTTCTTCAATAAACAATTGGAAATCGTAGTGAGATCTCATGTTTTTTTATGCCATTGTGATTTGGTTTTCTCATTTTGCGTATTATGAAACAAAAATTAGAAACACGGTGTTTTTCCTTCATATAATACAAAGAAAATATAATAATACGACACTTGGTGAGACGTCCATTGATGGTGGGACCGATGAAGGTATATCTCACGAAGTGACGTATCGGATTTTCTGCCGATTTTCTCACAGGAATGATACAATACTGCCGAAAACAGCATGTGGAGTGAAAGTGTACCGCTCAAAGAAGCTTTGATCCAAACCGCATAGATTCCAGTCTTCCGGTTTTGACGCCAGAGCAAAAAGAAAAGTGCCAAAAACTTTAAAGCTCTCTCCTGCAAAACTCTAATTTTGCAGATACGACACTTCGTGAGATGACCGACGATATATATATACATATATATATTATATATATATATATATATATTGTGTCATGGCATGATGGAATCAGACGCTCATCAATTTTTGGGCACATAGAGTTATTGGTACCTTCAAGCAAGTGCCTTTGTCTTGCCTCTGATTAAAAAAAAAAAACTACTCATTTATCTTCAATACAAGTCAGGATATTTGCAATTGAAGGAGGCGGAAGTCGACTACTATATATTAAAATTAGAGAGAAAGTGGCTGTAAAAGTTCCCAAAGCTTCAGTGTCCTTGGAAACTGCAACGTTACATTTTTGTGCCTTTGATCTATGTTTTCAAGTAAAATCCACACAGAAATGGGTTTTAATTTGACATAAAAGGTGCTGAGCCTCCCTGGAAAAATTCAATAAAAATTGCCTTACAGGGGAACAAATGTTGGTGTCTTCGATTTCATTATTCTGACGAGCGCTTGATTTCACCATGACATCACACACATATATGAGATCATGCAGGTGTACAGCATACTAATACTAATACAGCAGGATCTAGAGGTACCCTGTGACTACAGTAGTAGGCCTATATTCTTCGAATGTATCACGAAATTCCTCACACACAACTTTTTGCCAGATCGTAATATACCCAATATTTAGGCATGGAACGAAAAGCCTGACATAATACTACATTGCCCTGAAATCCAAGAACTCACTTGCACATGAATACATAATTTAAACTAAAATACCCAAAACCACTCACAAAATAACTTAGGTCACACTGATTTCATCACGTGTGTGTTGTCATGATGCTATGCGATATGTCTGTTCTATTTCACAAAAGCAAAAGAAAGTATGATGGGGCCTGGCTACAACAGGACAGCTGGGATCAACGTGATATCCCTGTTATAGCCTAATCCTGTTAGAGGTGATGATCAAGTCTAAACACTATCTCTAATAATTAACAGTTATAAATTGCTCCTTTCTCCAACAAAATCCTTCTCAAGTGACATTTTTTCTCATCTTTACTTTACTTTTTCTTGTACATGTCTTCTAGTTTCATAGAGGGAGGGTGACTAGACACCAATTGATATGCATGGGCAATAATAATAATACTGTTGCATAAAAGCACATCATATTCCACAGAGTTTAAAGTCTACAACATGCTATTAGCACTGTACAATTATTCAAAATCGAACAATTATACAGTTTGGAAAAGGAACACACAATGGTAGCTTAAGATCTATCACTATCACCCAGTGTCTTCAATCATTTATCTGTCCCCTTGGTTTAATGCAAAATTTTTTACATGAAATTATGCAAACTGAGCCCAAAATTGTGAAATTATGTGATTCTGTTAATTTTAACAATGAATGACGAAGGAAAATAATCAGAAATTATGCAAAAAATGATCAAACTTTGCTAAATTATGCGGGGTGCATAAAACCCCGGGGACAGATTTATTTCCTTTGCAAATCTCACTACCTCATGGGGAACAACGTGACGTTGTGGTGCCAGACCAAGGCCACGCAAAGTCATCATTAATTAACTGGATTTGCATCAACACCAAAGTACAACCAGCTTCCCCCCCCCCCCTGCACACGGTAAGACACTTTAAATATGTACGATCAACTCAGTAGGCATACTGTAGGTCACATAAGCGCAATTCGCCATGTTGAATGTTGCTTTTTTTTCATATATTATATATACATTTTTCTGCTTTTTTGTCTGCTTGTTTTAGAGTTTTGATGAAGGTTGGACTCCAGTTATAGCTGAGCTCCTCTGACTGAATGTATGCTATGAAAGAAGTTTTTTTACTATGCATTAAGGAGGGACTAGACTCAGGGTTATTTTAAGCCTGCTATAGCTGAAATCCTGTTATAACTGTAACTGTTATAAGCAGGACCCACTGCACATTGTAAATTTGCTCCAATAGAGGATCAAGAAAGTAGTTGAGCTCAGATACCTTTAACACACCAGGGGTTGGCAAATAATTAATTTATGTGTTCAACTTATCTGTAATTATATAAGTAATTAGAGTAAACCATGACAACCAAAAATAACAAAAATATAATTTAAACAGAAGAAAATCAAAGAAAATAACTAACATGGTACAATGATTGGAAAATACAGTCAAACACGGCTGACTCGAATTTGTCGGGGATTGGAAATAGTGTTCAAGGTCTACGTAAATCGTCATGTTCCCTGAAAGCCTCAAATACAAAGAAATTAAAGCCTGCCTTTGTGCACGAGCATTGTTATATATACAAAGCTTACTTCGTTGTGGGGATTGTTGGAACAGTTTCTTAGAGGGATGGGTTGAAACGAAAATAGCCATTCTCTCTACTTGAAAGACGTGAAAGACCAGGCCACCCTCGTCCCTGACAGCAAATTAGGTCCCTATGGCATCATGCGGTTCGGTCCCCTTCGACCCTGCATAACTCGAACAAAGCATTGACCACTCCGTGCTCTTCATCGGTTTCTATTCGTCAATGGCTTGCTACCAGCTTCCTCAATAAAGGCAAATTCATACCGCTTAATGTTCTGCATCAGCCATGCTGCATATTGATGTGTAGTTGCTTCAGTCCTATTCGGCGGGAGCATCCTCTGGATATTTTTAAATGGTGATCAATTCACCTTAAAATTAAACTACTTATGGTTGTCATCAACTCAGTTTGAGCACATTAAAACGCTTGTCATGTTGAATAATCTTTGTGGGGGATATTTGCTTTTGCTATGTGGCATTTGAACTTGCTATTGTGTTACATTTGGATTTGCTATTTGTACATTTGAATTTGTTGCGCACAATTGTGCACTAAAATTTCCTATTGTACATTTGAACTTTCTATGTGGCGTGAAATTTTCTATGCGGCATTTGAACTTGCTATGTGGCATTTGTATTTCTTATGTGTACATTTGATCTGAAAAAACTATATAACAGGGATGGTGGGACCAGAGAAATAGTCCAGTTATATCAGATCCCTGTTAAATCAGAAATGCAAGGGAAGTAAGCATTTGTGGACTAATCCAGCTGTATTTATTCACGGGTAGTTTCCCATGGCCTGCGCATGACAAATTACGCATACGTGTGGCTAGGCTTAGGGCTAGATTGAAGTCTGCAGCACACCACAGCTCTCTTTTGCTAAACTCGCTGCGTGTGCTTGCAGTGGCGTGGCTTGCGTGGTCTTGCTCCATCACTGCGTTACTCTGTCTCTTACTTTTTACACATTGTTAACGAGCCTTTGTCCCTACTATAACTGATTGGGCTCCGATGAGGCCCTGTTATCGTTGATAACTTTTAATAAAGACAAAGAGTAGGAAAAAACGGGAATTTAAAAAATCCCTGTTAATACCGGACCCCTGTTATTACCGGGCCTGTTATATATGGTTTCCACTGCACTTTTGATTGAGAAAGTCCAATACATTACTTGCTAGGTGCTTGTAATTATCTCCACAAAAACATCATGTTTGCTATAACGAACACTGATTCAACTAAATTTAAGGTCAGGCCCGATGACTTTGTTAAATCCGAGTTCCACTGTTATATTGCAAAAAGCAACCAAACAAATGAACACACAATACCAATACAATTCTGAAGTAGGCCTTCCAGCAAATAACAGGCAATAAAAAAAGAACAGACATTTAACTACGAGGGCTGTCCCACGGAAAACCGGAATTTGGCTGTAATTTGAAAACTATTCAATATTTTCACATTCTGTTAACGCACACTTGTAAACCAATCATTTAGAAATTTCCCGATTGAGCACCATGAGCATCGCACAAACCAAACGAGCACAGCAGTTCTCAAAAGAAGGCTACCCCCTTGGAAAATTGGTCAAGGGTAGAAGTGAGGTCTGTCATTCGGTTTCTGACCGCAAAAGGTCTCAAACCTCTAGAAATACACACTGAAATAAAGTCAGTTTATGGGGAGAAAGTAATGGCAAAGTCACAGGTATATGAGTGATGTAGTAAGTTCAAAGCCAAGCACTCCGATATCAATAACAAAGTTTACAGGATCTTGTTTTTCTGCCAAGACTGAGGACAACAAGAGTTGCGTTAACGAACTTATTCAAACAGACAGGCGCCTAAAAATTCGCAAAATTTGCGAGTCGCTAAACATTTCAAAGTCGACAGTCTATAGGATAGAGTTTGATGACCTGCACTATTGAAAGGTCTCTGCTTGATGGGTTGGGACCGAAAAAGACCAGCGGGGTCATTTTGCAGCATGGCAACACAACGTCACACACAGCAAACGTCACGAAAGACTGGTTCCAAAGGTTCGGCTAGGAAGTTCTACTACACCCCCCTCACAGTCCTGACTTGGCCCTGTCAGATTATCACCTTTTTGAACCAATGAAACGCCATATTTCTGGACAGCGATTCACCAACGACGAAGACCTCGTGGAAGCCGTGAACGATTGGTTGAAACCCCTTGACGAAAGATTCTTCAGGGAGGGTATCTTCTCCCAGATCCAGCGATGGGAAAAATGTGTCCAGCGGGATGGTGATTACATTGAGAAATAAAGCACATGTTGAGGTATGACGAGTTACAGTTTTATTATAATAGGACAAAGATTTTTGCTTTTACGGACCTTTTCTGGTTTTCCGTGGGACAGCCCTCGTATTACTGTATTACAGCAAGGTAAGTAGGCCCACATGTACATTATGAGTAGGCCTATGTGCCAAGGGTATGATTTTCTTCATGTACAGTGTATTATTCTATTGCTCGGATACTAGGCCTATTACCAACAGAGTATTCTGACTAAAGAAAATATTTCCATTTCAAACGACAAATCTCTAAACTTTTTGGAAGAAATCCGTTATGGAAGATTGCTTCCTTCTCTTCAGAGAAACCATCTCAATGTCGGAGGAAATATTGCCAAGGACATTGACATACTGTTCAGCTTGGGGAAAGTCGTGAGCCTGGATAAACTCTCTCAGCTTTTGTAGAGCCTCCCTCGCCTCTGCTGCAGTTGGGACGGATGGAGGAGTGGGACTGTCATCCTGCTCTTGTTCTTCGTTATTTGTAACACTAACAGACGCACAGACTTCCTCTGTGCTGAGCTGTCCTGTTGTCTCGACGGCATCGTCCACTGAGAAAAAGTCTTCGAGGGAGACTCCTGGTGGCAGAAATTTCTTTGCCATCGCTTCGAACAGGTTGTCCGTGCCATTAGAAGCAGTTGCAGGTGAAGTTGATGTTTCCTCAAAGTCTGTTGTTGGTGTAGCATCGTCGGGTGGTTGCTCACTTCCAACCACAAATCCCGCGTGCCTGAAGGAGTTTTTCACTGTGGCACAGGAGACGAGATTCCAAGCAGCCTTCAGTTCATACATGGCATCGAGAAGCGACATTTCAAAGGTATCAGCGCTCTTACCATCCTCCGCGTAAGCAATGAGTTTGCGGAAGACAATTGTTCGATAGTGCTTTTTCAGGGAAGCGATGATGCCCTGGCTGCATGGCTGAAGTACAGAGGTTGTGTTGGGTGGAAGTCGCACCAGTGTCACGGCCTGTAGGTTATTGATATTGGGGTGGGCAGGGCAGTTATCGATGACAAGTGCGATCTTCCTTCCTTCAAGCTTGAAACGGGCATCCAGCGATCTCACCCAGTCCACAAACAAGGCCGCCGTCATCCACGATTTTTTGTTGGCCTTATACTGCAGGGGCAGGTACTTGCAATATTTGAAGCAGTGAGGTCGATTGAACTTCCCTATGATAAGCAATGGCAGTTTGTCACTGCCGTCCATGTTGGCAGCAACCAGCACTGTGAGTCGGTTTCTGGGCGCTTTTCCACCATTGCATTTCTCTCCCTTGAGTGCGAGGGCCTTGGAAGGGAGACACCGATAAAACAGGCCTGTTTCATCGGCGTTGTATATGTCTCTGGGCTCAAAGTCTCTAAGAAATGTCAGCAAACCCTTTGTTCGCGATTCCGTTGGCATTAATGACTCAGTCTTGACAGCAGCCGACTCTCCACAGACGGACTTGTACAGGATGCCATAGCGTTTCTTGAAACGATCAAGCCAGCCAGTGTTGCTTTTGAAATCAAGGCCCATCTCAGCCCCAATCTCTTCTGCCTTCGACATCAAGATCGGCCCTGATATGGGGATAGCCATGGCTCGGGCTTGCTTAAACCAAACGAACAGAGATTTCTCAATGGCATCGGACTTTACTGTGCGTTGCTTTTTTCTGCTTGGTTGGCATGCCTCGCTCTGACTGTTGATTTTGTCCCGATTTTTTATGAAGGTGGACAGGGTTGACTTTGGGATATCGAACTGCTTGCAAATGTCTGTTTTGCTCATTGTTTTTTGATCCACGAGAGCCAGGATTTCACGTTTCTTCTCAAACGTGAGACAGTTGAGTTTCCTCTTCTCTGCCATCACTCTTAGGTCTAAGTGTCTAAGTTGTAACAATGAGACGGTGATGATGAACGTGTTGACGGTGTGAAAGCAAAAAGATGAATGAATGTGGAAAGCTAAAAATCTCACATATGCACAGGCGACTTCTACGTCTTTCCTTTCCTCTCATTTCATTGGCTTTCAGAAAGTTACGCTTCTTGCCATCCGTATCGCGCGCGTCCCATAGCATGTCTGCACACCTGGCGAGCCAGTTGTGTGGTGCGGTCAGTATCATTCCCCAACCCCCCTTCCTCCAGCCCCTTGTGGTGAGACAAGGACCACGTTTTGAATGTAACAATAACAAAAAAACACCTACCCGCAGCCAGAAAGGCTGTAAAGCCGGTCTTTAGTAGAGAATGCGGAGTGGATTTGTTCGAAATTCGAGTGTTGCGTGTTGGAGTGTGTTTGGGAACTCTGTGAAGTCAATACAAAGAAAACAACTAAAACGGGACCGAGGATTATGTTTGAGAAACCCATGAATTCATGATTTTCGTGGACTTTACTGTAAATTACTGATTATCTCCCCTCTACCATTCCCAGATTGAACTTGGATCGCGCATGCACTATTTGGTTTGAGAGGGGGGGGGGCTTTTTATAAATATTTATTTGGTTTCACCATTTAACACTAACAGCACTGAAGAGAAAAAGCAAAAATACGAACAATGAACATGACATGTTAGTTTTAGTAAGAGTTTTACGGCACTTGCAACACAATAAGGTAATATAAGCTGAAGATTAGATGTGTTACAAGGGAGTAACAAACACAAAAAAGGAGGAGAGATCAGGACGATAGATGTAATGATAGGAAAGAAGGAGCAAACCACACCAGAGCACTCACCAATCACCAATGACAATGATCTAATGAGTTGTCACAAATGCAAATTACTAGACATAGTTGAAGTTATGTAATTTTTTTTAAAAGTGGAAAAATCCTAGCAAATAAAAGTAAATGAAATGAGTAAGCAATAGGTACAGTTGGATATTTCATCAATGGTAGCATTATCCTCACACTTGTCATTTACATAGAACACCAAATAAAAGAACAGAAAACGAATTAAAGCAAAAGGAAAACATATGACATGCACAGGTAAGCAAGAACTGCCAGAATTCTTCTGAACTTTTTGTATATCTACCAGCAAATAATTTAATTTACTGCAAGAAAGTCAAGGTGGCTTTCACAGAGTGAGGAGTACAGTGGATATGGTTTTTGCTGCCTGACAAAAACAAAAGAAAGGCAGTGAACGAAACATCTAAACGGCATTTGTTGACTTCACACCATCAGTCATGAAGGCCTCTGAGAAATTATGATAAAATCCAAATGCCCACCTAAATTCATCAACTTTCTGAGACAAGTCCATGACGGCATGCAGGCTAGGGCCAAAAGCTAAATTTATGGTAAACTACAGGAGCCTTTCCCTGTCATGAATGGTGTGAAGCAAGGCTGTGTTCGAATTATCTGTGCTCAACTGTAAGATATATATATTATTCATTCTGTATAGAATCCTACTCACTTTCACTTTTCATGCTCCATGTTGTCTTTATAATTTGACTCATTACTGTTGAACTCCCTTTCAAACCATCAGCACCCAGCACTGTCATTTTTGCTTCTTCATTGATGGCAACAAAAGTTTCATGGAAATGTTCATGCACAGTTAAATGGAGATGGTACACTTCCAAAGTATCACAGTCGAAACTGAAAGGCAAAACCCAGGCAACCTCTGAAAAGCTATTGTGCAACTCTCAACCTGATTCCATTCCAACCACAATATGAAAACTGTATTTTACAAACAGACACAGAAATCCTTGACTGAACCAGGTCGTTAGAAAGTCATCTTTTGGAGACACTGATCATAAATCCAATAAGACTTTCTTTAATGTACTAAGCCATGGAGCAATGGGACCATGTGTATCTCAGTAGCAATGTCCCAGTTAAAAGGCAGAAATTAAAGAGAGTAAAGGAAATCATGCTTTCAAAGTGAAAATGTCACAATTCACGTTCAATAGCCTAAGGCACAATGGAGGGCCACAGCAAACTCCGAACATCAATGATGTTAATATTCTGGCAAAGGCATCTATTATGTGCCCAAATAAATATTTGTCCTCTCCCTATACCACTTGTTCGCTTGCAGCTGAAGACTTCAAATTACTTGTGTTTACTTTCTCACTTTTGGCACTGATTTCTTGCTGGGAACTCAATAACCTCTCCTTCTCCATTTCCACTTTCTTGTCAAGCTCCTGAAATGATAAAAAGAAAGAAATAAACTTGTAAATGTACTACAGTAGTCTCTGCCTATACCGCGCCATACAAAAGCACGCTCCGCACAAATGCAAGCTTTCATCATATGGCTGGGGTTTTTTGCTATATATAATTTAGACGTACATGTACTAACGCAGGGTCCCTCCTTCTAAATGCAAGCTTCAATCCGCGAAACAAGCCAACTGGTAAAGCTTGACAAGAGGAAAGTTTTGCTACAACCTGCACAGCTTGCATAAGACATGTCTAGACAACCGGATATTTGGTGAGACTTCCCCTCCAGCAGAACAAAGAGAGTGGACAGCGTTTTCATATCCAATTTCCAAGGACACATAAGTCTAGGATTGGTCGGGTGATATGTTAGGGATGGGGGGGACTGAAATGTCTTTTAATTGATCATTCGAAATGCGTCTGTGAGAGAAAGTTTCTAACTGGAGTTCGGTGACTGCATGAATAATGTTTATTTAGACCTATGATGCACAACATGTGTAAATACGGTAGAACTGAGAGCGCAAGATAGGCCTAGTCAAGTAATCGGCTGCGCTCAAAGAACTTATATGTACTGTTTCAACAAATCACAAGAGAAAAGTCTCTTGGAATGTCTGATTCTGATGTCATTCTTGCATTTACCGAGTTGCAATAAGATGACAGGCAGTCGAGAGTCGTTTTTCCCCGACTATAAGTTTCCTTTTAAATAATCCCGACATTTTTATACTGCATTCAGTAAGTGAATCTGTCTTTCTGCTCCCCCCCCCCCTCCACTCATTCAATGCCTATGTATTCACAATTCATAACCACAGTCGAGGAATCTTTCACAAAACAGTCACGTGTCGTCACATTACAGTAGTCTCCGTCTAAGATCCCACCACTTATGGTCCCGGTTCCTCTTAGATCCCAACATTTTGGAAAAACAGAATTTTTACTATATAAAAGTCACCCCTAAGATCCCGCTCTGATCCGCACTGAAGGAGCTACATTCGACTAAGATCCCGCTTTTCAGGTCATATTTTAGTTGTTTTTCTTCTTTTTTTTAAAGAAAAAAAAGAGAATCCTTGTCGCGCTCAGCTGATAAATCAAGTAGTAAAAATGTGCAATCATTGTACGGTCCGTTGCATCTCGAACAATCCACTCTCAGGATTGCGATCACACCTCTGTTGTAAATGTCGATCAGCGGTTACAATGTTTGCTCCAGACGGGACCGCACCAAGGTGTGAACTCGTCGACATGTTGCTTTCCCAATCACCAGAGCCATCCACCTGATCTTATATCACACACTAGGTGGGGAAGGCCTACAAGTAAGCATCAGACTGCATTCCATCAAAGTGTGAATTCTCGTGGACGCTTACTCTTCCCCTAACATCAGTTTTCCGCTCGAACTTCCTAGACAGACAGGAGCCCATACTCGTGGACTGTCCCATTGCCTTAGCGTTATGCCGGTGTGGTCACAACACAACGATTTCTGATGCACCATGACATGGGCAGTGAACTCCGTCAGAGACGGAAAGCAATAAATTTTTGGTGGGGGGCATTGCCTGAAGCCAACTGGTTAACACTTGGCACAGCCCCCCCACCCCCCATCAAAAAAAAGAGGAAAAACTGACTTCTGAAAAGAACTTTTAGTGTCCAGGAGTCACGTCAGTTCATTTTAAAGTAAGGGAAGATCATTGTACAGATTTTGGGCCTGACCATGAGTCACTGTGGATTCTTCCCCCCGGCTATTCAGCTAAGATCCCGGTTCGCCTAAGATCCTTGCTCCCGAGCACTGGGGTCTTAGGCAGAGACTACTGTATTGGCCAAAATAACCCCCACCACCCAAGGGAGGCCACTAAAATATCAAGGAAATGAGATGATTGTGTCCCTTCACCCCCTTTGCTTAGGCTCATGAAAACACACACTCCATACGCCAGTGAGTCCTCCTGAGCTCCATGTGTTAAACAGAGACTACTGTACTATGAAACAGGTTGTGCAGAAGGCGAACAACAACAAAAAAAGGGGGGGGGGGGGGGGGCGCACATTTCAATGCATTATGAATGAAAAGTTGAGAGTGTTTTCGTGGTTTCTTTTGAAGTTCTAATAAAGTTTGCAGCTCTTATTTTTTAAAAACCAACTTTTTTTTTTAAAATTGGGGGGGGGGGGGGGGAAAAAGGGGGAGGGGGGGAAGAGGGGTGTGAGAGATGAATAAGAACAGAAATATTTGTAACCACATACATGTATAGATAAACAAAACTGGCAGCAAACCGAAAAAAGATAACAGCAAAACAACAAACAACAGACTGGAGAATAGAACACAGGGGACAAGATTAGGCTGGTGGGGCCCGAAAACCACAGAACTATGAAGCAGGCATGGAAATGGAAGAGGAAAGTAGTCAAACACGGGTACCTCAAATTCATCGGGGATTGGAAATAGTGTTCCAGATTTTCATAATTCGTGTGAAAGCAAGAAGATGAATGACTGTGGAAAGCTTAAAATCTCATGTGTGCACAGCCGACTCCTATGTCATTCCTTTCCTCTCATTTCATTGGCTTACAGAAAGTTACGCCTCTTGCCATCCGCACTGTGCGCATCCCACAGCATGATTGCACGCGTGGCAAGCCAGTCATGTGGTGCGGTCAGCATCACTCCCCAACCCCCCCTTCCCCGCCCCCCCTTCCTCCAGCCTCTAGTGGTGAGACAAGGACCACCTTTTGGCTGTAACAATAACAAAGAAACACCAACCCACAGCTAGAAATGCTGTAAAGCCGGGTTTTTAGTTGAGAATGTGAAGTGGATTTGTTCGAGATTCGAGTGTTGCGTCAAGTTTTCGAGTGTTGTGTGTTCGGGAACTCCGTGAAGTCAATATAAAGAAAACATTAGGACGGAAAAGGGACCGCGTCTTATGTTTGAGATACCTGAAAATTTGTGATTTTCGTGCATGAGATTCGTGGACTTTACAGTACAGTGGAGTCCACTTATAACGAGTCCTGAAATAACGAGAAGTCTGTTATAAAGACACTATTCTAAAACCATGTTTTTTTTCTCTTCTTTATCTTTGTAAATAAAATACTGCTACTGCGCAATCAGACAAACATGCGAGTCGATTATAGCGGAATATATTGCAGCTGCTGGCACAATGCATAGGCCAATTATATATTATGTAAAACCTCGCCAGTTGAAAAACTTGTTGGTAATCTAGCGAAACAAAGAATGGGAGAGCCCATGAGTGTCAACAATGCAGGCCGGAGTGACTGAGTAGGGAGGGTGTGGCATGCGCACACAAGCAGAACGCATCGCGTGATAGGCCAGCGAAGGCCTAGTCTAGATTATCTAGGCCTACCATGCCTCTCATTTCACCGATGCGGGGTTGGAGAGGTCACAGCAATAAGATGGATAGAATGAATGTGTGACGTGCGCAAGCAGACAGAATGCACCACAGGGTGTGGTGGGGTGAGGAAAACACAGCAGGCGAGTTAGCCCAGAGCCCTTTCTTTCTAATCGCCAATGAGTTGTCAGTCAACATCGTTAGCGCTAGAGAAAGCTAGACGTCATGTTGAAACAAGATCATCATCAGGGGAGACAACAAAAAGAAATAAAAAGAACACCAAACTCATAGATTAGGCCTACTTTACTGTTTTCTTTGAATTTATAACTTGACCCCTTATAACGAGAATCCTGCTATAACGGACATTTTGCACCGGTCCCCTTCCTCTCGTTATAACAGGATTCCACTGTAGTATGCAATCTTTAATGAGGAAGAGTCAAGTGAAACAAGGTATTTTCTCAGGCTTACCTTCAGAGGATTATAAACAAGATGGACAGCTTGTGCTCCTGCAAACATAGACAGCATAGCCCCTATGACAGCCCCAAGGTAACGAGGCCACGAAGTCCCAGCTGGCATTGTCAGTATTCTGCTTTGTTGATGCTCTTCTTCGTATCCGCAGCAACTTCTTTCTTTAGTTTAGTCCTTGCGAAGTAGCTTGTAAAAGTATTTTTTATTATAACACAATAGTCTGAAAGCTTGGATTGCTATGCTAGTGACCAACAGCACTTTTACGATCAGAATTACTAATCACTCTGAGAATCAAGAGTTTGTTCAGCAATCTTTCTGGCCTCCTTTTTCTGGTAAACGTCATCTGGAAGGAAGATGCAAATAGTACAAAAGAAAACTTAAATTGTAGAATAAAAAAGTAAAGAACACAAGAAGAAGAAAAACCCCCAGAGAACTCTTTAAAGTAATACTCTTCTCATAGATCATGCTGAAAGTGAAATAAAGCAAGGTGAACTAGTTCATTACACGATCTTGTCAGTTTGATAGTGTTTGAGCTCGTGAAATCTGCTGCTTGCACTGTATGCTTCCAATGAAGCCGAGAATGTTTCTGAGTGTTTTCAGCGAGGGTCTACTGGGGTAATAATAATTGTAAAGCGCATAGAGCATGCTCTTGAGAATTATTATAATTATTATTAAGAAGAGACATGTTGTACCATATTAAAAAGACCATTTGGTTCAATGACGCTTTCCAAATACAGAAACAGTATTTTTAACCAAGCACTTGTATACATGCACAGACAATAGATTTCGGTTTACATGCATTATAATGCATGCATGAAGCTTTGTTGCATGAAATTCCTGTTACCTGGAAAGGATTTCGAATCCCTAAACTTTTTTTCTCCCTCTTTATTCTATGACTGCAGCTATCATTAACATGTAACCTAAGTTGGCACAGAAATGTAGTGGTGCCAGTTTACTTGAAGGTCTACCATACTAAGGGTGCGTGTCCACTGGAACAGACACCAACCGACCCGATTCCGTCTGTCTCTCGGAAAGCCGGTAGATGAAATGAAACACCGATTTTTTCCTCAGAAATCAGTGAAAATTCCGTTTGGCTGTGTCAACAGACACGACACAACACACCCCGACAAAAGATGTGTCGGTTGGAAAGCCGCTTGCAACATTTCTGCCAGGTTGGGTGGTGACTCATCAGCCAAAGGCCCCGCCGGAGCAAATTTTTTCTTCTAATTTTGAGTGCGGATTAAGAATCTAATGTCATATTCGTAATCAGCGCCTCAAAATTAGCAAAGTCTACGCGCAAACCACATGGTTTAAATGTATATTTAAAATTTTACCAATTTCCCTTTAAAATCCATACATTTTTTTTCCCGCCTTGGGTATTTGTGACCTTTTGACTATTTATAGCCCTGTACCGAGAACACAGCCCGCCATGACAGCGGTCTAACACACACATCCAGGGAATAAGTAGGCCAACAGGCTTGACGTGTCTTTTCCGAACTGTGTGCACACACAAGACGGAAACGACTTGACCGATTTTCCTCCTCCCCACAAAAAATCGGGTCGTGTCTGTCCCAATGGACACGAAAGCTTAGGCAGTCTTCTGCAATATTATATGTCTAGCATAGTATATATCTCACCTGATTGGCCATGGTAATGACAGTGCTGGGCCCATTAAAACCAAAAACGGTGGTATTTAGTAACTGTGGTGTTTGGGTGGATGGGATGCTCCATTTTGCATCAGTGCAATTAGGATGAAAACATTTAGAGTGATCATGATTGATGAGCAAGTCCCGACAACAAGTGACCAGACCAGACTATTTTCAAGAAATCAGGGGTGGTGAGGCAGCCTACCCCTAACCCCTACATATCCAACCTCCCGCTTAACCCCCACCCCTCCCTTTACAGCCTTACAACCTTGCACTTCTATCCCCCCACCCAGATATATACAGGCCTACTATCATACTACAACCACCAAAACAAACATTTTTAACATGACCAATCTACTTTTGTAGTAATGGTTATGAACGAACTATTTATTGTCCATTTCATATATATTTTTAGGGCTTTTTAGAGTTAATAAACTCAGTCTCATTTTAATGAAAACCATTTTATATGAACGAAACAGTGTGTCAGAATGGTTATGAACAAACTTTAAATTATGCATAACATGCCCTGTGACCAGTTTGCGTTTTAAAATAGCTGTTAAATGGTCTTTTATTTATCACTTGACTATAATTAGACCAGAGTGTTATTTTAGACTATTCTAGTCAATGAAACTTGACATAATTGATAGTTTTTTGGTCACTTATTGTTCGTTCATAACTTATGACACAAAAAAGTAATTTTATCAAAAATTTATAAAGATTTTTATATAATATATATATACTATCAATTCTCTATGTATTTTTGGAAGTTGTTTGCTATGTGTCTCAAAATATAACCTCAGCCAAGGAACTTTGATCATTCATAAATTTATATGTCATCATTGTTATATGAATGAACTTTTTGCTATTTCCGTCATTCAAGTCAAAATTACATCTAGACCACTGCATATACAGCTTTCGCAGTTACTGAGCCTGAAAGAGCAATCATTAGGCTATATAATATGGATGATTAAAGAGTTATTACATAAAGCTCATCTTGGACCTCATTTGTCACCCAGGTACCTCACCTTTTGGCAAATGCTCATCTAGATCTAGATCTAGATTATAGGGGGCCTACTCAATCGGCCATGGCTTCCAAAAGGCCACCTCTATTCTCACCCCGGGTGAGAATAGCGCAGGCGCACCTTTTGGCTATTCTCACCCGGTGTGTGTTCACCATTATAGAACGCCTGGGGGAACCAGAGTAGCGTTCACCCTGAACCACAGAATTCTACACCGTGATAACAGAATTGTAGAATTCTGTGCCGTGAACAAACGTTCCAGTGCTCAAGTCTTGTGTTACTACTGTTACTGTCAGCCTAAAAGCGTGCAATTTTGTATGTGGACAGTGGGCCGTGGAGAGAGAGAAAGAGAAAGAAAGAGAGAGGAGTAGCACGAGAACTTCCGGGCAAAACAAAATGGCGACCCGCATCGTTTGGCTCGATTCGAAAAGTTAAATAGCCGTAGCATCTTTTTTTTTTTTTTTTTTTTGTAAAGTGTTTTACGGCGCTCGCAACTGCATAACATATGAGCGTGCGGGACACACCTAATATTTTCAGTTGGTAGGAAATTTTGAATTTTGCCCGGGTGGCGGCCAAAGCCTACTCTTATCGATTTTAGACCACCAAGGGATCTTTAACGTGCGCAACTTGCACACGGGCCCTCCGAGATTTTTCGCCCTTCTCCGAGAAGGCTAGGTGTAGATCTTTCCTACCAGAAGATCAGGGGTGTGGCTGAAAGACAGCAGTAAGAAGAAGCCAAGGAGTAGCAGTAGAAAGGCTGCAGAAAGAATCAGGAGCCCAGAGGAAGGGGCAAAGGAGGTGAGGGGGTGGGGGCCAGGGTTGGTGATTTTTTTGATTTTTTAAATAAAAATTTAAAAAATCGATTTTTTAAATTTAAATCAAGATTTTTAAAAATTTAAATCGGATTTTTTTTATTTAAAAAAAAATGTTGACACAGTTTGGGATTTTTGGTTGCTAAAAGTATGTTCTTTTAGTGCAAAATGCATTGTCTTTATTTTAACTAATGATTAATTTAAGCAACCGCAAAAGAAAGCCTTAATCTGCTATATATAATATATATTATATATTATATATATATATTATATATATATATACATATATTATATATATATTAAATATATATATATATATATCAGTGAATTATGGCTACAGAGAAAAAATGAAGAAAATGTCAGTGTAAAAGGAAGGGGTGGGGGGGGGGGGGTTAATTATGCATAGATAAACTTGCATTTTATTACAGTGTGTGTGTGCGCGCTTGTGTTTGTCTAAAAAGAAAAAGAAAATGTTAATTTCAATAATTAAAAAAAAAGTAAATTGAATACTGTATTATTTTACAGTGACAGGGGGAAGCAGACTTTTACATGACATGATTATATTAGAATTAGTCTACTAAACCTTATCTGTTTTATAAAACCAAGGAAAGGAATTCTGAATGTTTAAAGATGTAAAAACAGAATACATTTTTTTAAAGTGATTTATATCACTGAGTTTTATTCTTAAAATCAAGTTGATTAAAATTTTTTTAAATCAACTGATTTAAATCGATCTGATTTAAATCAACCCAACCCTGATTTCAATTATGAAAAAAAAAGTCAAGTGAATACTGTATTATTTTACAGTGACAGGGGGGAAAGCAGACTTTTAAGCATGATTATATTAGTCTACTAAACCATATTTATATATCTGTTTAATAAAACCAAGGAAAGGAATTCTGAATGTTCAAATATGTAAAAACTGAATAAATTTTAAAAAAAGTGATTTAAATCACTGATTTTTATTTTAAAAATCAAGTTGATTAAAATATTTAAAAAATCAACTGATTTAAATCAACCCAGCTCTGATTTCAATTATGAAAAAAAAGTAAATTGAATACTGTATTATTTTACAGTGAAAGGAGGGAAAGCAGACTTTTAAACATGATTATAAATATTAGTCTACTTAACCTTATATCTGTTTTATGAAACCAAGGAAAGGAATTCTGAATGTTGAAATATGTAAAAACTGAATAAAAATAAATTTTTGAAAAATGATTTAAATCACTGATTTTTATTTAAAATCAAGTTGATTTAAATCAAAAAAATCAACTGATTTAAATCAACCTGATTTAAATCAACCCAACCCTGGTGGGGGCAGAAAGAGGAGACGAAAGCAGACGACAGAACATTGCTAGAGGGCAGGAAATGAGGGGAAAGGAGACAAATTTAGAGAAGAAAATTTTTCGGTCGAGGCCAAAACCTTAACCTCTAGGCCACGAGAGCCCCCGTAGCATCTTTATAGACGATCAAATTAATTTACCTTTGTGTTTTAGCATAATTTTTTATCTTTGTTTTGGTCAATTTGATCGTCCACACCGATAGACAGTATTCAGAAAGAGACAGAGAGAGAGAGGGGAGGAGTAAATCTTGCGAGAACTTCCGGGCAAAACAAAATGGCGACCCGCGTAGTTCGGTTCGATTCGAAAAGTGAAATAGCCATAGAGCATCTTTGTAGACGATCAAATTAGCTTACTTTTGTGCTATCATAACGTAATTTTTTCTTGGAAGTGCCTATTTGCAACACCGCGTTGTGATTAGCGTCAGTGCAAAATAAAACGCAGCGTTGCGATTAGCGCCAGTGCTAAATAAAACGGCGTGTCGCCGTGTGTAAAATATCAAGCTTAATCTGCACTTCGTTATCGGAAGTTCTGATGGCCGAAGTGACAGTGCGTCTGCGCTTGAAGTCAAACCATTATTTTTTTTAGCGTGGGTTCGATCCCGGTCCTGGACGGGTTTTTTCATGTTTTTTTTGTTGTTGTTGTCCTCCTCTCGACTGACCAACAAATTGTTCCACATTATATCTTGTTGCTTTGTAGTTTTTTTATATGTAGTGATGATGCATGCACATTCTGGTTTTGTCCCCAAGAGGAGCTCTGTACAAAGTTGGCCTAAGTATAGCCTATACTTTTCCTTTTACCAATTTAGGCCTGGTTAAAGTTCAGTAGTGGCTTTCCTTGGTCTGTGAGTCTAATTTTTTAAAATAAAAAAAAAATTTAGGCTCAGGAGAAGGAAAAAAAAAACACCTTTCAGGACTGGGACAGTCTGGGATTCGATGCCACGCTTGGAAGCACTGAACATTAGACTTAGAGAACGTAGACAGTAGACAGCTTGAAACGTTCTCTAGGCCTAACTTAAAGTTCGAGTTTGCATCGTCTTGTTATTGTCCAAGCGTCTTTCGACTTAAACTTGCTCAAACTCTAACTCAGATGATTATCTTATGAGAGATGAACAAGACGTCTACTTTTGTGCAAACAATGTCAGAAACAATTGTCTAGATCTAGATCTAGATTTTTCTAGATCTAGATTCTAGATCTACCCGATATTGATCGGAATATAAGACAACGTCATGAAAAAAGGAGTCAAATCCTAGGAGGTTTATCAAAAAACTAAGAAAATTTCCACAATTCAGGCAGAACTACAATATTATCATGTAGAAACGATGGCTACTACATCTAGATCTAGACTCTAGTACTGGCGTTTCAAATAGCACAGGAGCTATTCAGAACGCGGCGTTGCAAATAGCACGGGAGCTATTCCTGAATTCAGAACGCGGCGTTGCAAATAGCAATTTGCAAGCGCTTGCCTTTTTTCTTAGCTTTTATATTTTATTGTCAATTTGATCATCCATGCCGATATAGACAGTAGTAGTCCGAAATTAGGAAAAACAGGTCTTGTTTCACATCGTCGTGTATAGTATAGCCAACGCTGGCAAGTCTCACCCGGGGCCGGGGTGACAGGTCGATCGTATTTTTACTCTCACCCCGGGTGAGGATAACCACTTCTAGTTTGCACATTTTAAGGCCCAGTTCAAAGTTTTGAAGGTCTGAGTCGGGGATTAGAGTAGACTTTGGGAATTTAACGTGCTAAAGTATAAGATCACCAACAATGGAATTTCTCGAGATGAAAACTTACAAAAATTTACTCCCAGCGGTCTCCATTTGATCATCGCAAATTCAACTGTTGCGCCCATAACAAAAAACAAAGGCATGAATCGGTAAACACCAAATAAACGTTTCCCTGGCCACTTTTGGATCACCAATTGGAGAAAGGGTATTTTTTTAGCCATCTTCGTCAATAATCTCCAAACGTCCTTGCTCTCTGTGTGTCCTCCGGCTCAACCTTAGCCATGGCTTATAACTTTGCAAAATGCAAAAAGTAGAACTTTGAAATTGTAGACTGCTAAACACTACACTACACCACTGCAATCGGCAGAGTGAATATGATCCCCAGGTTTTTCCCAGATTTCTCGTCTTTCAACCACAATGCTCACAATCACTAATTGACCCAAGGAGCTTACCCCTTGTAATTGACCAAATGGATCTTTTTATTGATTTTGATCAGATATGTTTGAATCAGCATGTCTGTTACTTGCTCTAGAAGAATATATATCTATCGTCTTTATCATATTATTGTTGTTCTACTTTTAATGAATTACATTTAGCCTGGACAAAAGGACCTTACAACAAACCAAGCCTGGACATTATGGTTTTTCAACTTTTCGTGGAAATAAGCTCTGGATTCTGGATCGTTCGCTCGCTCTAGATTTACTTCGTATCTTTAGTAATTAGACTATGATAGACGGAAGTAATGTACGTACGTAGTAGCTATTTCACCAATGACTGAACAAGTCTAGCCAAAATCTTGAGCTGTGTGTACAGATCTAAATCTAGATCTAGATCTAGATTCTAGAATCTAATATCTAGATCTAGATTCTACTATACTGGGCCGTCAAAGGTGAGCCTAGCCTTCTAATACTTCTATTGCCTCAGTCAATGACTTTGACATCATCGCATCAGCCTTTAAAAACCACCAGAGTCAGTTGTGAGTCGGCCAGCTACACTCACACACACACACACACACACACACACACACACACACACACACACACACACACACACACACACACACACACACACACACTCACAAATGCATGAAAGTCAACTTGTCTTGGCACGCGCGCAGGCTTAGCCAGCTATGTCCTGGCCATGTCTGTCAAACTCGAGACTCGAGGCCTAGAGTCTAAAAGCTATTTTTAGCAGTGTTCAAGTCGTGGCCTCTAAACAGCCAGGCCCACTTGAACCAGCTTCCAAACTCGAAAATCGGACTTGATTCCTCGATTCTTTTTCAGTTTTGGGATCGAGGCCTCAAGTCTTCTTGCCACCGATCTTGCCCTGGCCTACCTGTTACGTTGTTTTCTGCTGGCCAAAAAGTCCTTAACCCACTTGCAAGAGTACCTTCCCTTTAACACCGCATGCTGAGAGCTTCTATAAGTCGCGTATGGGGAACGGAGTGAAAGGCTTTCTGATAGTCCATGTAAATGACATCCACTGACCCTCCTTCATCCATAACACTCGTTCAGTCATCTAAAGCCTCCAATATTATAATTGTGTATATAGACATGAACGTCCAGTGACGAATCCGTGTTGGTGATTAGAAATCAACATGTGTTTACAATGTGCTCTCTTACGAGCTTTTCCATAACTCATGCTCATAATGTGCCTGAACTGCAATGGTGGGGAACTCCTGCTTTTTTTTCCTAATCTTACCATCGTCATTTTTTCCTCCTCTTCTTTTGTATGTTTGTCACACTCTTGTGACCTGTTATTTTCCGTGGTGTCTTGATAGTCTAAGCAGACATTGTGCTGTTGAAGCTAGAGAGGTGAGCACACGGCGCACCGGCAGTGGAATTTTAGTTGCCGCAGGGAGTTCCCCGCCGGGTGCCTTATCACGTCGGGGTCAATGGGGTCAGCTCCCTGTTACCGTTGCCGCTCTGTCTGGGCCGACTTAATTTTTGGTACTTTTCAACGAGCAATTTAAGGCGTGTCTTTGTATTTATGGTAATTCTCATTTGTGCACCCAAAGCATGCATTTCTGCACTTGAGACTAAAAAAAGAACGGACGTTGTATCTTGCTGGTTTTGTCTGGTTATTTTGTTAGATGCGCTGGAGTCAGCAATGCAAAATTGTAATTTTTTTTGGACACACGTGAAAGAAAAAAAATTAATATAATATAAAAAAACGCCTCGGCAAAATCTGAACTTTTGGAACATGAACGGCTTAGCATTGGTGCAGATACTCAGAAAAGATGATATCTGCACATATAATAGAAAGCTGTAATTTTGCAACTTTATCCATTGGGCGCACAATTCGCAATGAAGTAATTCCTCCAAATACAACTTTATGTGTCTAATATAACCGTGAATATTCGCATATTTTCTCAAAAGTTTTTTTAAGTTACCACCATGAAGTTTCCCTAAGAAAAGTACAAATCTATTTTAGTGCCAGAATACATCTTCAGTGTAATACACGAACAGTATCTGTTACACTCCAGAAATTCCGTACTTTTCTTAAAACGCTAAGTCTAGGTCTTGTAAGTTGACTGAATAATAGGGATGACTTCTCGTAATTGGGTTATAAGAATAATTTCTAGCTTTCCAGGGACACTGAATCAGCACTAGACTTTTCCAGCTTTATTTTTTGTTTCTATGACCATTTGGCTTTGCAATAACTGACAATGTGACTGATTTCTTTACATTCATAATTGTGTCCGCTCATATTTCCGACACAAAAACTAAGAATGAATGTGTTAACTGTCATTATTTTTATTCCATACAAGAAGTTTATCTCTACCCATGTATTTACACGGTTTTGTGGGTTTTTTAATCGCTTATATTATCCCTTTTTAGTTGTATGCAGGCTGCCACAGACACAGCATGATTCATGAACAAGCGCAGAGTAACTTTTTCTTGTTTAATAGTAAAATAAGAGCTAACGCTGATCGTCTTTAGTTTAAAAATGCAGATGTGCATCTTTCTTCTCTTATAACTTGACTATTACTACTCGCGCAGATTTAAGATTTCTCATGGTAAAAGACCTGATATTCGTAGTCAGTTTAACACAGGTTTTGGAGAGATCTGTCGTGCCTTTTTAAAATTAACAATCATTTATTCATAAGTTTGTAACTAAAATAGGACAAATTGGGTACTCTACAAACATTTGTCTAGAACAAAAACTAAGGCACAGAAATTAACCATTCTAACGCAGAATAAATCTCAAGACATTGAGCTTTTAGTAACATCTGCGTAATGGTTTGCTATGTGGGATGGGGAATAAATTATATCGTTTTAAACATAGTCAAAAATGCGAACTTCCTAACCGACACAGGCAAAGTCGCTTCAGGACTAATTAACCCCGTGACCCTTAGCAGGGGAGCTCCGGCGGGCTGCTGAGTCACGCTAACTAAAGGTAACAGAATGGGGCGAAAAGTGACGCCGTGAGCAGAGTAAGCCTGATTCCCTGTATGGACTTCTCTTTTAACATCCACACCTTGATGCTCATATGACCTTTGCAGTTGCGAGCGCTGTAAAAACTACTAAAACATTCAAAGTGTCTATTCCCAACACAGTAGAATTTGCCTATTCCCAACCAGTGTTTTCTTTTGTTGGCTAACCTTGGCCAATGACTACGAGACCAAGACTTTGAGATTTTGCGTAGTCACGTGACCTGTCTGATTCGCACGGCGCGCCTTTTTCTGCTAGGCCTATAGGTCATCATTGAGTACAGAGAGTTAAAAGCTTAAATTTTTTTGGGTAAATGTTTTACGGGGCTCGCAACTGCACAAGGTGTTATGAGCGCACGGGACACATGAAACATTCTTCACTTGGTAGTAAAAATTTTTGAACTTTGCCCAACCCCTCGGGGCGGTCCACTGACTGTTCAAAGTGTCTTTAGGCAATTCCCAAAGGGGGGACATTTCTCATTCTAGTGCACTGTAGAATTGTAAATGGGCTGATCTAACAATGTCATGATCATAACTGTGCCTGAACTACAACAGGGAACTGCTGCTTTTTCTTTCCTAATCCTTACTATAGTCATTTCCCTCTACTTCTTTTGTATTTTGTCACACTCTTGTGACCCGCTATTTCTGGGACGCCTTGATAGCCGAAGCAGACTTTGTGCTGCTGGGAAGCTAGAGAGGTGAGCAGAGTAAGTCTGATTCCCTGTAATGACTTCTCTGTTGACATCCACCCCTTGGCACTCTTATGACCTTTTGCAGTTGCGAGTGCCATAAAACCTCTAACTACTAAAAAACCAAAAAATTAAAAAAACCAAAAAACTTTACCCCGATTGCGGCCAAAGCCTGGTCTCATCGATTTTGGACCACTAGGGGATCTTTAACTTTAACGTGCGCAACTTACACTCGGGACCTCTGAGATTTTTCGTCCTTTTCCGAGAAGGCTAGGTTTGGATCTTTCCTGCCATAAGATAAGGGGTGTGGCTGAAAGACAACAGTAAGAAGGAGCCAAGGAGTAGCAGTAGAAATAAAAAGGCTACAGAAAGAGTCGGAGCCCCGAGGATGGGGCAAAGGAGGTAAGGGGGGTGGGGGCTGAAAGTGGAGACGGAAGCAGATGACAATGACAGAACATTGCTAGAGAGCAGAAAAGAAGGTGAAAGGAGACAATTTTCTTAAAGAAGAAAAATTTACGTTGCTATCTGGATTCGAACCCCGGACATATTGAAGTGAATGAGAGGCGAACACCTAACCTCTAGGCCATGAGAGCCCCCTGAATAAGTTTCATCATCATTGCCTTTTTTACCCTGGATCAGGATATAGGCCACGAACAAACACTTTCCACCTTTCCTTATCCTGTGCGAGCCTGAATAAGTTAATCTAACAGTATTGGTATAATTTGTTATCATAAATTTTCAACATACACACACACACACACCAATATGCTTCTTTTTGTGTTTGGTGAATAAGGTCGTGGGTTCGAACCCCGGCCGGGTTAAAGAGAAGACTTAAAAATTGGTATTCTGGTAGCTTCCTCGCTTGACATCAGCATTCTGAGGTTAGTGCCAGGACTGGTCTACAATTTACCAATCTAAGGGGAGGGTTGTGGCTGTAGACGGAGGGAAGTCGTACAAAAATAAGATGAACTTACATAGCCTAGACCAATCACTAATCAGGCATGAATGAAGTTCACACTGTCCGACATTGCATACTTTTTTTTCACCATCAGGCCAGTGTTCAGCACACTTCACATTTTCCTCGATAGATCCCATGACTACATTGTTTACTTTTCAATGTGCATGTCAATATAGTACAGTGGAAACCATATATAACAGGCCCGGTAATAACAGGGACCCGGTAATAACAGGGATTTTTTAAATCCCCGATTTTTCTTACTCTTTGTCTCTATTAAAAGTTATCGGCAATAACAGGGCCTCATCGGAGCCCCACCGGTTATAGCAGGGACAAAGGCTCGTTAACAATGTGTAAAAAGACAAAGAGAGAGAGAGAGAATAACGCAGTGATGGAGCAAGCCCATGCAAGACATGCCACTGCAAGCACACGCAGCGTGTGAAACGAGAGAGGGCTGCGGTATGCTGCAGACCTCGATCTAGCCCGAAACCTAGCAACACGCACGCGTAATATGTCACCAACGATGTCAAGCGCAAGAGAAAATGCGTTTCAATTGACAAAAAAACCAAAACGAAATAATCCAGGTTGTTGACAAAAAGCAAGCTCCACTGGCAGAGATTTGTCGTCAGTTCGACATTCCACAAGGGTCGATTCACACCATTATCAAGGATAGAGAGAAGATAGTAGCAGCATACTCCAATGCAAAGTCTGCTCTGGATCGAAAGAAGATGAGACTACCCGATGCAGATGCTGTGGACCAAGCTCTTCTGATGTAGTTTAAGGAGGCAAGGAGAAAGCTGGTACCAAAACCCTGTTCGTGGGTACTTGTGGCAAAGGAAACTACCCACGAATAAGTACAGCTGGATTAGTCCACAAATGCTTACTTTCTTTGCATTTCTGATTTAACAGGGATCGGATATAACAGGACATTTTCTCTACTCCCACCACCCCTGTTATATCAGGTTTCCACTGTATGACATAAGGGCTGAACTGTTTGCTATAATAGTTCCCAACACCGGTTGGGAATAAGTAAATTCTACTATTCCTAACACCGGTTGGGAAAAAGCAATTTGTACTGTTCCCAACACTGGTTGGGAATAAGCACAGCCTTCCACAATAATGGCCAATGGGGCGGGGGTTCAGGGTCGCATGCCCCATATATTTCACTTGATGTTTTGCTACTAGATAGATGTCTAGAATCTATTAGTTTTAATATTTTTTCTTGAAATTAATTGAAAGTGAAAGCTATTGATTTGGGTTTAATTTTAGTTTTTTTAGTGGTCTCATTGTATGTTATTGTTATGCAGCCAAAATATGGTGGTTTAGCCCCCAAAAGAACTTAAAAGTGCATCTGCATGTGGAAGTGAAAGTAAAATTTTATTGTTGCAGTATTATTTTACTTACACTCCTGTCTAATGCTGTGATGTTCACTTTTCTTGTTCATTTTGTCCGTTTTACAAATACTTCTGACTTAATTATATCCATTACAAATTATCAGTTTCTGGGAAACATAGCATGCAGACCAATTATGGCTGAGATCGCGACAGTTCCAAGGACACTGCTTATTATGACTTTTTTCACTTTGAGGGAGTAGTTATTCCTAAGGCTCAAATTTCAATATACATTGGAAACCTGATATAACAGGGATGGTGGGACCAGAGAAAAAAATCCTGTTATATCAGATCCCTGTTAAATCAGGAATGCAAGGGAAGTAAGCATTTGTGGACTAATCCAGCTGTATTTATTCATGGTTAGTTTCCCTTGCCACAAGTACCCACGAACAGGGGTTTTTGCCATGTGGCAGGCCTGTGCATGACACATGACGCGAGCGTGTAGCTAGGCTTAGGGCTAGATCGAAGTCTGCCGTCCTCTCTCACTTCACCCACTGCGTGTGCTTGCAGTGGCGTGGCTTGCGTGGGCTTGCTCCATCCACTGACCTAAAAGTATCTTTTTAGGTCAGTGGCTCCATCACTGCCTTACTCTCTCTCTCTCTCTCTCTCTCTCTCTCTCTCTCTCTCTCTCTTCCTCTCCCTCTCCGTTTCTTACTTTTTACACATTTTTATCGAGCCTTTGTCCCTGCTATAACCTATTGGACTCCAATGAGGCCCTGTTATTGCCGATAACTTTTAATAGAGGCAAAGAGTAGGAATAAAAGGAGATTTAAAAAATGCCTGTTATTACCTGATCCCTGTTATTACCGGGCCTGTTATATGGTTTCCACTGTAATTTTCCGAATGTTTACAAAATTCTAAAACACCCTGTTTGTACTTTGGGACATTTTTTTCTAGTTCTATTATATTGCTCTTTCATGCAAAACAAACATCTAAAATGAATCCCTCATACAGTTTTCCACCAGAATTGATGAAAAAACTTTTAATGATAGCATCAGACCAATTAAATTTTTTTCAGGCATTGTTGATGCCATAGTTCAAGTCAAACTGTGCCCTTTTTAAAAAATAGATTTTCCCATGCTTTGTGTAAGATATTCTCACAGCTCACTGGTTAGCATTCAACCGTTATTAAATCTAGTTACCAACCCAAGAGGTGGACAATTTTAGAGCACACCATCGTTGGGCAATAACCAGGCATGGCTTGCTCATTTAGCACAGTTTGGCAAAGCCGCCTGAAGTTTTAAGGCATAGATGTTGCGTAAAGCACACTCAAACAGAAGACAGAAGTAACCAGCAACAAATACTATTCAAATCTTTTATCAATACAAGATCTTTACTCTGTCCCCGTTGGATTATGCGATTATGCGGCCGTGTTTTTTCGCGTAATTCTGCAACATTTGCATCATTTTGGATTCCCGTTCGTTTTTCCCCCTTTTTCACAAAATAATTAATTAACGCCTCACCATGTGACTAAAGGGAAGTAATCACCGTAACAAGTCTCATTTAAATTTCCCTTGTTAGAAGATCTTGGTTATGGGTTGGGATTTTGTTCCTTTTGCATGTTCAATTTTTCAATCCGACAAAAGTTGTTGTTGTCATGTCTGCTGATGTTTCATGTTTGGCAGGTATCCCTGGTTTTAGTAATGGGCCAGCATCAGAGGTCCAGATGTCCTTTTTCTTTTTTTTTTTTTTACATTTTTCTTCCTCTATAGATCTAGATCTACAGCTGAAAGTTACAGAGATTAAAATTGTTGGTTGTTGTTTTTTTCTGACTGATATGTATTGTTTTCTTTCCAAATACACAACAAATTACTGATGCTATGTTCTGTTTTCAATTTTTCTGTACATAAAACATGAAAATCATGAAAATTCTTGTTGAAAATGTGCAAAACATGTCGCGAATGGTGTTACGGTAACTTGCTTAATTTTTGCATAATTTTTCATTTTTTTGCATAATTTGGCCGTCTAAATTTGCATAATTCTTCAGGGACTGTTTACTGCATTTAAATAGACATTAGTAGTGCTGTGCTGGAAGTGTTATCACTGGAGTATGCCATTCCTCTAATGCAGTATGAAGGAAGGTTCAAGAATGCATCTCATTTACCCAGCCTTTGACTGTCTTCGACATGTGAAAGCTTAATTGTGCATGCCTACTTATTTAGAGACGCTGCCCCTGCCTACATGGGTCTCGTTTTTGACTTATACTAGTACTCATTCTTGTCAACAAGGGTTGATCCCTCATTCGCGCCCCCCCCCCCTCCCTTTTCCCCCCCTCTCCTTCTCTGCTTTCCTTGTGAACCAAAGCCAAAAGTGTTGAACGTTTAAATGTTGTGGTTTAAAAACACCCCATTATAATTTGATATTTTCCAGATGTTTTATCTTTTGAGACGGTCTTTTCAATGCTTCCAGTTGATGGGGAAACTTTGACTGGGATAGTGGAGATACTGAGCTACTCCTTCTGAAACATGGCAGGTGCATCTGGGAAGACACCAGCACCAGCTATGAGGTCTGTGAAAGATCCTTTTGTTGTCTCTTTGTGTAGATAGTTGTGATTAACTCTTATTTGTAGCTTGCAACCAGTAAGCAATTCAAGCTCCTAGAGCCTAGCTGCAATAACAATTTGTGTGGCATTGTAGTGAAATCAGGCACTCGTCAAAATAATGGAAGCGAAGAAATCAACATTTTTTCACCCACCAATTTTGTATCAATTTTATTATATTCTTTTTTACACAAAACCTATTATGTCTATTTAAAAACACATTTCTGTTGTGGATTTTTTTAAAAACCCTTTAATCTAAGGCTTCGGTGGCCTAGTGGGTAGGCTCTCGGACTCGCAACCGTAAGGTAGTGGGTTCGAATCCCGTCAGGGGGCCCGATGTTGTGTCCTTGGGAAAGGCACTTTACACGAATTTTCCTCACTTCACCCAGGTGGGAATGGTACCCAGCTATAGACAGCGAAAGATATTGTCAGTTTGTTAATGTTTGAGCGCTTAATCAGCTGCTTGCACTGTATGCTTCCCGGGAAGCTGAGAATGTTTCGGAGTGTTCTATGGTCTGCTGGGGTAATAATATAGTGTAAAGCGCATAGAGCCTGCTGTTGAGCGGGGATATGCGCTATACAAATGCTATTTATTATTATTTATTATTATTATTATTATTAAGGCTAAAAAAATGTAAATTTGCAGTTTCAAAGGACTCTGGTTTTGGAAGTCACCGTAATTTGATGGCAATTTTCTTTCTAATTTTACTTCTGATATCAGGAGAACCACACTTATTTCAATCTAAAGGACTTCTATTCAAGACATATATGAGTATTTTTCTCCTTGAAAGAAAGACAATACATATGCCCAAAAAATGACAAGCGCCTGATTCCACTGTGTCATAACATACGACGTGTTCTCAATTGATCTGAGGCTAGGCCTACTCAGGTCAGGCCCTGTATCTCGGACGGTTGGCTTCAGTATTGGAGGCCGGCCAGGTTCGGGGAGGGTCAATGTGAAAAGCGGCGATAGACAAGTGCGCTGGAGCGGTTGTTGGAGAATTCTCGCTCTGTTCTCGCTTGACTGGCCGACAGCGAACCTTGCTTAAATTCAATGCATTTTTGTTCTTGCTGCTTTTTTTTGTGAGAGTTTATTGCCTCTTATAAGAAAGGAAGATCACATCAGTGACAGAGTGTATCTTTTCATCAACATAAAAATAAATTAGGTTTGCCTTTTACCATGAAAAACAGACCATGGCACACGAGAAGGATAACTTTTGTTCTTCACTTGCAACAAAAACAAGAGACATTGTTCTCATTCTACACATTTTAACAAATATGAAATAAAGTTAATTTGACACATACACACAAACACACACACACACACACACATATGCTCTTCAGATGGAGTGCATGAAACTGAACCCAATCAGCTGTTGATAAAAAACATTCTCTTACCTCTGAAAAAGTTACTGTTTGCATGATCCGGATGACAGCTTTGCAATTTTTTTCTTCGCCTGTCCTTCATTCCACAAAGCACTTTGCTTAGCAAATCTTTTCATGAAGATATTTGCTAACCGCATCAGCGCACTCTTTGCGATAACAATATCAAGATGGAATATCGCAGGAAAGTCCCTCAAAATCGCCACTAATCAATTTTTGCAGTTTTTCAGTGGTTAAAAAAACAACAACCCAAAAAACAAGTAGGCCAGCAATGTGTCTCTGGAAAGTTACACACAAAGTACAAAATTTAATCTAAGTGGCTCCAGCATGTGACAACATCTCTAGTGAAGCTTGGATGCCTGATGCACCTCATCATGTAACCTCTTTCACGTGGTCATGGGTATGGCGAACAACCGTAAAGTACATACGTGGAAAATGCAAAAACAGGGCCGTCTCGAGTTCTGCTGAGCAAGACAAATGTATTATAATCTTTGCTCTTTGCAACATTGCCAATGGCTGTCAGCTTCATTTCCATTTTTTTTTTTGTGGGGGGGGGGGAGTGTTTTACTATGCTCGCAACTGCATAAGGTCATATGAGTGTGTGGGACACATGAAACTTTTTTCAGTTAGTAGGAAATTTTGAATTTTGCCAAAGCCTATTCTTAATAATTTTAGACCTCCAAGGGATCTTTAACGTGCACAACTTGCACAGGGGCCCTCCGAGATTTTCCGCCCTTGTCCGAGAAGGCTAGGTGTAGATCTTTCCTACCAGAAGATCAGGGGTGTAGCTGAAAGAAAGCAGTAAGAAGGAGCCAAGGAGTGGCAGAAGAAAGGCTGCAGAAAGAGTCAGGAGCCCAGAAAAGGAGGTGAGGGGGTGGGGGCAGAAAGAGGAGACGAAAGCAGACGACAGAACATTACCAGAGAGCAGGAAAGGAGGTGAAAGGAGACAATTTTAGAGAAGAAAATTTTTCGGTCGCTACCTGGATTCTAACCCGGCACCTTTGAATGAGAGGCCAACACCTTGACCTCAGGGCCACGAGAGCCCTCCTTTCCATTGTTTGATAAATGAATCGAACTTGAAGGCATCTCTTTCTTTGAATACGCTCATTTTTTAATTATCAACAGCTCAAGAAGAAGCTGAACTTTTTGTAGTTGCTCTCTTTTTTAGAGCTGGTGTGCCACAACATGATGGTGGTACTTCTGGAAATATTAATGGTGGCTCTGTGGGCAACATAAATTTACCAGCCCGCGCCAAACGTACATCAGGTGGGAAGTTTACAGAGCAAACTCCCATGTAATCAGTGACATCTACGATTAATTTATTTGGGACACTCTTGACCCACTGTGTTTTTTTTCTGAATCTTTTCTCTTTCTTCCCATGTTCAAATGTTGCGCACACGATTCTTTGTGCTGAAACTGAGACATCAGCTGAAAACTTTTTCACAGTAACAATAACATTCAATATGAAAGAAAACTAGAACCTGGGCTGAACACAAAAACACATAATATAAGGACAAATTTAATCCTTAGAATTAAGTGTAGTAAAAATACGTCCAAAGGAAAAGAACTTGTACATCCAAGATCTCTGAATGAACCAATGAAGAGGCTAGGAGATTAGACAGACTAGACGGCTACACACTACACACTACACACATTACACTATCGGCAGGCAAAAGCATAATGCAAGAATGTTCCATCACCTGTATACATTATATTAGTATAAGAGCATCTGCCTATCGCCACTTTTCACTTTTAATTGCTGTTTTTCGCTTTGATCCTCGATAAGATAAGGACTAGTCTTGAGGCAAGCTTATCAAGATAAGGTCATCCAAACCAGACTCCCATGCCGGAGCCAACCGTACGGGATATAGGGCCTGAACTGAGAAGGCCTCGATCTGAGGCCATTCCCATCACATCAGGAAAGTTGATAAGCTTGTCAAAAAGTTTGCAGGTCAAATGCCAACAGTGCCCTGTTCTAGTATTACTAGTAAGGTCACAATTTCATAGCACAACTCTAGTAATTGACACGGTTAGGTTTTGTTATATTTCATTTCATAAAGGGGAAATTGAGCCCAGTCTTAAATTAACTACGTTTCAAGCCACAGCTTCAGGGTTGAAATTTGTTAGGAAATGACTCACTCACTCTTAAGTATACCGTAGTAGAAAATGTGGAACCTACTTTTTCACCCTTCTTGTGCTTGATATAACTGTGAATGGATGTCTTGGCCCGATGTAGTCCTGCACCTGAGTAATACAAACACTCCTAGATGCCTCATGAAGTCAAGTCCACCAGCAGTGAGAAGGGAATCATCTGTTTTATGCTGTGCATTTTGTATTCTATGCCTAGCAGAGGTCAGGTATGTTAAGATATATATATAGATCCTATTCTACTGTACTTTTATCAGCATCGTGGTTCTGACTGTAACTTTTTTCCCCTGTTCCTACCCCAGACAATGCCCTCACGCTACTGCAAATAACAACTTTTGAAGACCAACATCTGATTTAACATGGCGTTGAGCCGAAGAGCATGTGCACGAAGGCTACTGGAATGACAGCTACAACAACTATAAGTATCCCAGACGGGGTGCCATTGATAAGTTAAAGAACTAGATATAAAGTTATTGTATTTTTTTTTTTCAAATTTTACAGATGCAGGCAGTATGAAGCTGAAATTAAGCTTACACAGTGGCCCATCATATACAGTAGTGAGTACAACATAGGCTTCTGTGGATTAGAAAAGCTGCATCCATTTGATGCTGGAAAATGGGGTCGTATCTTCAACTTTCTTAAAGGTGAGATGAGTTTACTTTATAATTGTTTTTGTAAAACTACTTATGATAATGAAATAGGCTGATGTGCAGTGCTATAATAAAGTAACTAGGATTTTGAGTTGTCTGTAAAAGCAGAGGGTAACCACCTGATAGTGTAGTAAGTGAGATTTGTTATATTTTTATCTTGAAATACTAGTTCTGAATTTGAGGCTGACATGCCTTATCTTTGAACACGTTTACAGTGGAACTCTGATTCAACGAGAACTTGAATTCAACGAGATGAGATAGATTCCTCGTTTTTTTTCTTCTTTAAAATCAATAAAAATAACCCGAATTCAACTAGCACTTACACCAGTGAGCTCGGATTCAACTAAGTCGCTTCCAGGGTGGACAGCCCCCGCAGACGTGGCTTTGCTAATTTTTCTCCCGGAACGAACTTTATCTATTCCCAGAAACCATCCATTGCTCCTGCATCGTGAACCATTATTCACTTAACCGATTGCATGCGACCAATCAGTGGCCTTTTTTTATACCTACACATGCGTTGTTGACACGCGCACATGTCTTCTCGGGCGTGTGTCGGGGTCGGATGGGCAGCCTGCACACGTGTGGCTATGTGTGCGTGTCAGGGAGAGGGGGGGGCACTAGTGGTCAGGGCGTTATATAATAAGCGTCACAGATACAAACGCATCAATCTTTTTTTCTCCCTCAGCAACTGATCATCATTACAATGACAAGCTAGTCTCGACGTAGATCTATGTAATGAATTGTGCGCTGGTCTATGGAATCAAAAGTTGCCGTATGCTAGGCTCTACACTGCAGCACAACTTTTTGGTAAACAATCGAGACGGCACAGGCGTGTGCATTTGAACGAATCGGTTTTATTTTTTTACACAGCTCATAATAATCAGGCATTTCAGGCACTACTTGTGACTTCTCTTTATACATTACTTGCTCAGTGCCTGTAATTATCTACACAAAACCTCATGTTTGCTATAACGAACTCTCGGATTCAACGAGATTCTAGGTCAGGCTCGGCGACCTCGTTGAATCCGAGTTCCACTGTACTGTCTTACATGAGGTAAGATATGCTTTAATTGAGCCTTCTGTCTTGTAGTATTGTTGCAGTTGTTTTGAAGGATTTTATAACCTACAGTAAAGTCTGCTTAAATTGAAATCTTCGTGACAGTTGGGCTTCTTCGGTTTAGCAGTTTTTTCAGTTTAGAGAGGTTGCTCAGATAGCAAAGACAAATATCTGGGATTATATCTGCTTTTGGTTTACTACTGTTAGTGTATTAACCGTGGTCAGTTTAACTGGACTCTACTGTAATTCCATAGTGAAGTATATGCCTTACTTTGTTGTTTTTTTATAAGATGCTGGTATGCTGAGAGACGACACTATAATTGAACCAATGGAAGCGTCTGAAACAGAACTGCTATTGGTTCATACAAAACGCTACATCAGCAGTCTCAGGGTATGGTGAAACTGTCTCTCTTTACTAATATTTGAAAGGCCGCATGACAAAACTTCTTTTTGAGGTCGGTTTATTGATTGTTTGATTGATCACTTAAAACTATTGTGAATAATAAGTTAGAAGAAATAAATGCTTTGTCACTACTGGTGGGAGCTGAGATGAGGCATTATGGTGGCAGTAGTTCTGTACTTGAGCTTTTTATGAATGCTATTTTACCATGCTGCAATCTATTGTTGAAATGAGTGATCCTTCTGAAACTTAAGCATTTGAAATCTCCCTGCTTGAACTTACGAGTCTCCCTGCTTGCAGTTATTCTTTTAGGTCAAAGACAAACAATTGTTGTTGTTTTTTCTGAAAATATGAACTGCAGGATTTCCTCCTTGATAAAGATTTATCTTGCTAAACCTCCTTGTTGAATTAGTACCTGTGCATTTATGCCCTTGTTATCAGGGTGGGATCTTCCCCCTTTTTTTCTCTTCCTATTTTTTGGGGTGTTTATTTTAAGATGTCATTTTAAAAATACTCTAAATATTTGGGACTTGAAATGGGCACATAATTCAGCCTTGCAGAGATTTAGCAAAAGTCTTTTTATTCATCAACTCTCAACATACTTTGAATCATGTATTGTGTTGGATTTTTAAGTGCATGGTTGGTTTACAGTGAAGCCTGTCTCATGTTTTTACTTACGTACAATGCATGTAGTCTTTCATGTTTTAAATCTCTTTCCACTTAAATAGTATATTTTTACCACCCTTTCTGTCTACTTCATTCATTTTTGTGCATTTTTTTTACCATTGTCTTAAGCTTACAAATATTGTGGAGGGAATCAATGAGGTACTTATTGTTTTTGATTCTCAATTTCAGGCTTTTTTGTGCTTTGAAGTGTCCAATTTTCTTTTACTGCGTTTTTTTACCTTGTACATATTTTCATGTGTTCGGTCTGTTTTGTGAGAGTGGGGTCTGTGGAAGTGCTTTTGTCAGTGCATATGTTTACTTTATAAAAAAAACCCAAGCAAAATAAGAATATGATTAAAAAGAATGGGTTTGTTTCAGATTCTGATATTCCCAGGATGCATGACTTCTTACACCACAAAATCAAAGATCATGTATTATTAAGCAGATTATATGACTGGTTTGTATAACTCCCACTTTCCAACTTCTAGTTGGCTTTTTTTACAGCTTTTCTATGAGCATCAAATGTGTTCTTTGGCTTTTGGCTTGATGTTATAGCGTACCTGACATACCAACCTGCAGATGAAACCCAGAGCATTGGTCGCGTTAATCATATAACCAGGTGTTATGAGGCAGTACAAGACAAGTATTCATCCCATTGTCAACCTGTCTTGGTCCATAATGGGATCTTTAGAAACAATTGTAAACAGTCAAAATGATTTGCCTTAACATTCTTGATCTTCGGTAAAAATGCATGCTCATCTCACCCATTCAGTTTGACCTCCAGATTTTATGCTTCAATCGGGCTTCTTTTCTCAAGCATATTATACTTGAATTGGTGACATATCTGGATGGGTTTGAAGTGGTTTGGAAGGGGTGTATGATATTCATAAATAACGGAACTTTGTTGTCATTTTTGTTGTTGTTGATGTGTTTCCTCAGTCTAGGTTTCCTTTTTATTTCTTTGTTTGGATAAAATCCTGTCCTTAACAAGACATGGATATGTATTTTGATTTATATATATATTATATTTTATTATATATATAATATGTGAACAGTTTCGTGCCAGAATGCGTCATATCCATTTTGCAGGTTTTGAGAAAAATGAATATTTTGGTTCATCTCCAATGTGCTAAATAATCTTGAGCAACTTTGGTTTTGAAATGAACATGATGTAAGGCTTAGATGATATTTCTTTTATGATGAAATCTGTTGGATTCTTATTTTTAAGATTGGTGAAATCTCTGCACATTTTTTACATATCCTCTTAATATTTGTAAGGAAGGGAAAGATTTGTCAACAATCTTTTGCTGACCATAAGCGAAGTCTTGTGATCCCAGGAAAGAACTTGATTGGCATGCAAAGGATATGTCGCGTTTTTTTCAAAAATGGTCTTTTTTTCGCGTTGTGTATAAAACGCGTAACTTTCTGCAGTTATTTTTATAGAGGAAAATTGCTTTTTATGAAAAAAGAAGTCGACTGTGGAATGTGCCTCACCTTTCTAGATACAAGAGTACTAGTCTTGATCCAACTTTGAAATTGGCGATGTCGCATTTTGTCGTCAAACTGTTCATACATATATATATATAGATATATATACAAAAAGACACTGGTACCGTAACAATGGCATTATCTTAACCGTTGGGTGATGATTATAATTATTATTATTATAATAATTATAATAATGACAACATTTCTTTGTTGTTGAGTAGTGTTCCTGTTTCATTTAAGATTTTTGACCAGGAGAGAAAAGAATAAAGTAAGAAAATTGTGAATGGTGCCGGAATATGTTGCAACACATCTAAATCATGTATATTTATACTTATTTTATCACAGTGTAAGTGTACTCTAGAAGCACAAGCTGCTCATTAGTCATGTTGCCATAAGACTTCCTTGAAACTGTAATGTTCAGCAACTTATGTGCATTTTACGAGATTGGTGTATACTAAGAGCTTTGAAAGCAAAGGAATGAAAAGAGAAAGTAAACAAAGAAAAGAAACAAACAAATTTTACCTTTTCTTCATACAAAAAGAGCCTGGATTTGAGAAATCTCAGGGTCACGGCTAAAGTTTAATTAGCCAAGTTACATCTATATACCATAGCACTTTTACTTATTTATTTCGGTAAAAGTGAATTTTGACCCTCCATTCTTAAAATAAGTTAAAAAGTCTTTTGGGCTAGATGTTGTGGTGACCCCTACAGAGAAAAGACTGCAGAGAATAGAGCTCCTGGATGTGCTTACATGGTCAATTAATTTGTGAAAGGGGTGTCTAAAGTTTTGTTTTACCTTTATATTAATAGTAATGCAGTGTTTATGAGTAAAAGACTCAACACTTTTGTTCGTTCAATGCCAAAATACAGATTATTGGGTTCAGAATTATACTGAATTTTATGACTTCTACAATGTTATGATCATGAATAGAAAAGGTTTATCCTCTCTGTTAGTAGATGCCTCTAATACTTGTAGAGGATACACAGTTAAGTAATCCAGTTGGCTGTTATCAAAGCATTCCCTGAGTGATCCGATCGTCATCTCTTGTGGGATTTGGCTTTTATATCCTGCTTTCGTAAAATATATGTCATTTGGTTTGTCTCAATAAGCTGTGAATTTTTTATGATTTGTTCTTCTTTTTAGTAGTTAAGTGGCATCTGAATTTTTGTTTATATCAGTGAAAGCTTAAAATTCTTGTGTACGTTTTCTTTTCTGTGCATTTGTACTGGCAGTGTGTAGTTTATACTTGATATGAATGCGGAAATAGTTTGCCAATAATTTTTATCCTTTGTTTTTTGTCAGTATAGGTTGTGGATTTTGTGAGACCCCTGAAATCTTAGGATAGTTAGCAATAATTCGTCATATTAATGTAACATTCATGAAGGGCACTGGTTGACTGAAATGGGGTGTCATGTCTTTCCTTATATGAATGAGCATGGCTGAAAAGTTTGAGTGTTGAATTCTCTTTGTCTTGTACTTGTTGTCTTGAGAATGTTCACAAAGAGGCAACTGTGTTTAGAGTAAATGTGGTCTCTATTATTCATGGGTTTGTGGGGGGGGGGGGGGGGTTGACATTTTTTTCCGGATGGATTTTTTGTACTGAAGTTTTGGAATTTATTTTTAGTTTATTATATCCTTGAAAAGAACATTTTTTCTTAAACTCATTTTACTTGTCTCATTGTTGTCTTTCTTCTACAGTGGAGCATGAATGTTGCAGGAATCACCGAAGTGCCTCCTGTTGCTCTACTGCCAAATTTTGTTGTGCAGAAAAAAGTCCTACGCCCGTTTCGTTTCCAGACTAGTGGAACAATCATGGTGAGAGACTCAGATCCTCACCTTTATCAAGTTTTGTCTATTGATTGCTCTCATTTATTGTAGTCAGGTTTTTCATGATGTCTCTACATTCAAGTGAATAGATACCTTGTCCTCTTGGGATGGTCCCACCTTTCTCAAATGAAGAGTTCAGCGACCTGTTGGAAGTATATTGTTTAGGAGGGGTAGTAGATAGCTATGTAGTTTATATTTGATGCTTATTGTTTTAAAAAATTTAATCTACATTTTGTATAGTATTATAGTTTCTGTTCAGTTTTGTTCCTCGCTACTCTAGAATTACAAAGTTCTATCTGCTCAGTAACCTAGTTTTGAGGAATTTGATGTTAAAAATTTTGAATTTCACAACATATCAAGCTTTTACGAATGCAATTCTTTGAATATTTTAATAATGACTCCAAATAATCGTATGATTTTGATAGAGTAAAATGAACATTTGGTTAATGACCTCATGGTCTTAGTTACTCACAACGGTCAAAAATGCCAGAAAGGACTTTGTAATAAATTCTAAGGTAGCGAGATGACATTTATGCACACTTCATGTGCAGAGTGACTAGAAGTGAGAATGTATTGTTATTTTCCTTCAGGCTGGGCGGCTGGCCCTAGATCGTGGCTGGGCAATCAATATTGGAGGCGGGTTTCACCATTGCTCTGCGGAAAGAGGAGGGGGTTTCTGTGCCTATGCAGACATTACGCTAGCTATCAAGTTTGCTTTTGAGAAAGTGGAGAGTGTTGCCAAAGTTATGATCATTGATTTGGACGCGCATCAGGTAGGTGCCCTAATTTTTTTTGAGGTTTTTGTTGGGGGTTTTTTTTGGGGGGGTGGGGGGGGGGGGGGGACACCCTGTTCTGATTTTTTTCTTTTGGGTGCTAAATTATGGTCAATAGAAGTAAGACACAAGTACAATCAAAATTGTCTAAGATGGCCACACGTTGTCGAGGAGAAAAGTGGGTGTCTTAGAGAGGTGGACGTCTTAGGCATGTCTGATGAAAATGAAGAAAACAAACCATTCCATTCTGAGTTCCCAACCAGAGGCGGTTGCAGGTTTGACACTGCCTATGCCCTTTAAAATGTTGGGGGTTTTGTGTCCCTTCGTTTGTTGATCTTTATTCAATGCATAATACAAGACATGTATTAGATGTTTGTCCATAGAATAAATAATACATAAATGTTTTAACTGGTTGTATCTCATTGATGCATGAATTTCATATCTTTTTCAATATAACTGAAAATACTCTGCTCAAAAGATGTCTCCTATTTTCCTGACACTGAGACTCCAGAGACAATTTGAATTTTGTTTTGTTCCCTCTGGGCTTGGCTAGCCTGTATTTGAGTTGTTTAGTTTTTTGGTTTACCTGGGCTGCTGACTCTTTACCCATTTTTCTTTCTATTTGTTTGTTTTTTTTGTTTTTTTGGATTTCAGGGCAATGGCCATGAACGAGATTTCATGAATGATCAGCGGGTCTACATCCTGGATGTGTACAACAGGGGCATTTATCCACATGATGGATTTGCCAAAAGTATGTCTCCTGTATCATTGTCATCTTCATCATCATCGTCATTACCTTCATCATCATCATCATTATCATTATCATCATCATTTTTGTACTATAGAAAAAACTACATGAACATTTTTAAATTATTGATGGTTTGCAATGGGGTGTTAAAACAAAAACTATACCTGGAAGAACCAAGGCTCAGAAAAAGAATATGAAATGTTGCTATTGTTAGTACTACTATTCAACCTATCATTTTTGTTATTACTTTGTAATTTTTATTATCCTTATTATTATTATCATTATTATTATTGTTTTGTTTAGCTATTGTTCAGCAATAGGAACACATATTATCGTTGCTCTGTTGGAACTTCGTTAACTGGAATTTTAAAATTTTACAGACGAGACAAAATACTGTCTAATATTGTTAATACTAATGCTAAGGCAATCAATTTCTGTCAATTTATTGTGATGAGCCCTTGACAAAATCCTGCAAAAATGTATATGTAGTTTACCTGAGCACATTATTATGCAATCTGAATTAGCGATAAAACATCCACTTTTTAGCAAGTTCGCTGTCTCAAACTTTGCTACACTGAACCTTGCTAAGCTTTTAGCGAGATTGGAACAGCGCCTCGAGTGGCTTTCAGTCACTCCAATCTAACCTCGCTATCTTTGGGTTGTCTGCAAATACACATGTTTAACATGCTCTAAGTCATTTTATGATGTCCCAATGGCCTGCTGGTGAGCATTATTTCCCTCTCTTTTTAAAAAAAAAAATCTCAGGAGCAATTAAGCGCAAAGTGGAACTGGGCCATTTTACAGACGATGAAACCTACTTAACATTAATACGAAGGTGAGAAATAATGGTGTTAGACCTTTAAGTGATGTTACCACTGACTGTTAGCCTTATTATAAAGTAAAAGGACTTGCCCCCATTGTGTATACTATTTTAACTCCTTTTTGTTTTCTGTTTTAATTGTTTTAAATCTAGTTCATGCATGAGAAGCAAAGTGAGCGTTCATCCACTGTTGTCTCCAGGTCTGTAAATGTTGATTCCTTGAACTTTGGATGGATGCTCTCTGCTCACTTCTTTTTCTGTCTTCCTCTGCTAGATCTCAGGGTTAGTCAACTGCTGGTTTTTCCACCTGCAGTGCAACTGATTTTTATGTATGTGACCGCTTTTCCTATTTAGTAGGGCCCCTTTCCTTCAGGCAGCCTCATTCTGATTTCGAAGGTACTCTGTATGGTTTTTATACTGACTAAAGTATTTTCAGTTTTTGTAAGAATGAATTAAAAAATTTTCTCCGGTGATTGACCAAAGCCTACTCTTATTGATTTTTAGACAACCAAGGGTTCTTAAACATTCATAACTTGCACATGGGACTTCTGAGATGCTTCACCTTTATCCAGGAAGGCTATGTGTTAGATCATACCTACCCTAAGATCAGGGGTGTGGCTCAAAGACAAGAATAAAGCCCCGGTTACACGCAACAATAAATTGTATCAGATTCGTTGTATGCGAAAACTGTCCGTTTATTCTACGTTGTCTGTTTACTCGTTCCAATATATCGTCCAGTCTTCTTTCGATGGAGGAGATTCTTTGTTATAAAGCCACCATGTCTCTTTGCGACAACAGCGATTTGCCTGCACTGTAGACCCTATTTGAAGGTTTCGAACCTGGGACCTAATGAATGGAAGGCGAACACTGTACCTCTAGATCACAGAAGGGCCCCTCCCCCTCCACCCTTCCCCTGTACATTTTGATAAATAACAGAACAGGGTCTTTAGAAAAGGGTGGCCATACTGTACCGTTATGTGTGTAAAAGTAAAAGCTTTGACTTGACTGCAGATGTGCAACGCACCGAGTGACCTTGATACACAACTTTACCATTGATGATCAATTGAATTATAAAATTGCTAAAATTTATGTAATATCGCATCAAATCAGGTTCCCTGCAAGCTACTCTGCTTATTTCGAGATGCTGATTCCGAATATGAAATCAGTTTTAAGGTGCGATAATTGTTTTTTAAAGTTTGTGCCTTAAGTTTAATCCTGTGCAGCGGCAAATGTTAAAGTGATTCTACGTCACAGCCCGTCTCCCCCTGATCTGACCATGATCGCACGGAAATCAAACAGCGCTTGATTTCTCAATCAAGTCTCCAAGCCATCGTCCAATCTTCCAAATTTTGTGCCTACACCTAACGGTCTATCGTTTGATCGCAAGATCATCCAGTTTTTTAAACATTTTATCATTACGTGTAAACGGGCTATAAGAAGGAGCCAGGATTGGTAGTATTGAATGAGAGGCGAACACCATACCATTAGACCATGAGAGCCCCCTCACTGCTCACTCATAATATTGCTCACAACTCTACTTCTGTTGGCCATGTTTTTGTAAGGGGTTACCTTAACATTGGGTGGCCAGCCTTGGAGTGGTCTCTTTTTTCAACAATTTTTATAAGTGGCTGTTTTGGAGAATGTAATTGGAATAGTTTTTGACTTCTGTGGCCATTTTTTCAAACTCACGAAAAAGCTTCTTTATTGTATTTTAAATCCCTGTGACTTAAGCACATTGCCTTCACTCCCCCAGACATGTCGATGGTGCCTTGAATGAGTTTGAGCCTGATCTAGTTGTCTACAATGCTGGCACGGACATATTGGAAGGTGACCCTCTAGGAAACTTGTCTATCACGGCTCAGGTGATTTGTGACAAATATTGGGATTTATTGATCTTACACAGAGCTTCATTGTTGTCATGTGTAGAGCAAAACTCTGGCTCTCTCCCTCTCTCTCTCTCTCTCTCTCTCTCTCTCTCTCTCTCTCTCTCTCTCTCTCTCTCTCTCTCCCTGGTTCTCCTCTCAAGTCCTTTCTTGGCTTCTCTCTCTCTGTTCTCACTCACTCTTTCACACACAGACACACACAGACACACACAGACACGTGCATACTCACACATGCAGACACAAACACACTCATACTTACCACCTTTTTCTTTTCTTTTCTCCCGACCTACCCAGAAGTTTTCTTTTTAAAAACACCAAATTCTTACACATGGCCGGGTAGGTTCTGTTATGCTTGCCCATAGGCATTGCAGTTGTAAAGTAGAATGTAACTACCTGTAAAGACTACTTGTTATAAAAGCAAATGTTGATGGATGCAGGATGCGCTTGTCTTACTTTTTTTCAAATTGAGAGACCTTTTATCTGCTACTGAGATCATTATATGTTCTTCTGAGAATAAATCAAGCAACAAACACCAAAAGTGTCTTCCTGCTAACTCTGTGACTTGACCCCTCTACTTTTCTCTGACTTCCTTCAAAGCTTGAGATTTTTTTGTCCCTCAGGGTGTCATTGAAAGGGACCAGATTGTGTTTCAAAAGTGCAGGACAAGAGGCATTCCTATATTCATGGTTACTAGTGGCGGTTACCAAAGGGAAACGGCCAGAATTGTGGCGGACTCCATTCTCAATCTGAAAAACCTGGGCCTGATTTCATGGACAGAAGCGGAGAATGCACCTTTGATAGAAGCTCCTGGTGAGAATTTGAGAAATGAATGGTCTCGTGATAGCAAATGCAAGTGTTGTTGAGAGTAGTTCTCGTCCCACAATTTAATGGCAATGTAGTAAAACCCTGTGAATGAGGCTGAATCTCCATCCATAATAAGGTATGATATGCACTTGTGTGAGGGGGTAGTATCGCTGTACCTATCAATATGATGCTACTGTACTTTGTAAAACTAAAACATTGCAATAGGAATGGAACATGGGTTCAGGTTTTCAATAAAATATGCTGGAGGTTTAAATTATGTGTGAATGTGCACTGATTTTAGTTGATTGTTACAAAGTGCTAGAAGTAGTGATGTGAGGTAAAAATGACATGTAAAGAAAGTGTTTTTGGCCTCTCCAGTGCTCCTTAAGTGTTGACAGAGTGTTCCAGCTTTAACTGTTTAAGGATTTTAAAGACTTGATCACCCACACCTGGGCAGGAGAGTAGATTTTTAAACAAAGCTATATGCATTTTGAAATATGGGTTTGGGACTCAATCTCTCAGGGTTTTACTATTTATAGTTTGTAGTTTATGCTTTTGATGTATGTAGTATTGATGTAGGGGTATTCAATGTTTCCTTTGTCTGATGTATGTTGTGTATGTCTTGTCAGAAAAAGAGGATATTTCACAGGAGGCGTGTCAGACCCCAAGGATTTGCTGCTGTTGCTTAATATTTGTAGATGAGAACTTTGTGCCTTTTTTTTAGGACCGCTGTACTTGATTTTGATTGGGCTTGCATCAACGTCACATTCTATTTTCCATTTTCAAAGTATGAGGGGAAAAAAGACCACCAAAGCACAGTTGAGCTCTTGAAATTTGAAATAAAGTAACAAAAAAAATAAAGAAGACTTCTGTTGTTTTTTTATCAAACAATTAGTTAGGAAGTCGACATTAGACAAGAAGAAGCAAGTAATTTCAAAGAAGACATGGTGTCTGAAATTCAGCGGTAGTATTTTAGCAGGAAGTTGTTTGACCAGATTACATCAATGTCAGTGCCAAAGAGGCCTCACAGTTAAAAGTTTGGAAATATCCATGCCAACACACGTAATTATGATATAATTTCACTGGTTTCCCATCCTTTAGATTCAATCTGTCACATTTGCCAGTTTTCAAAGATGATTGTCACTTATTGTAGCTTGAGCATGTTTTAATGTCATTGTCAGTTTTATTTTCCTTTCTAATCCTGGGCTGGTCAGAAAATAGTATATTTTTTAGACTAACTTTCAACATAGCCTGGTATGAAATACATGATCATAAATGGAGCTTCTTTTGATATCACATTATATGCTGTTTCACTTTTGTTGTTCACTGTTGCATATTGTTATATTTGGTAAGTAGATGTTTACAACTCGGTGATATTTACTCTATCTTTCCTTTGGCACTGTGGTTTTTTTAAGCTTTACATTGGCTTAACATTTAAGTCGTGGGTGTAGCTATGCATTGTTTTTGGTCAGTTTATTATAATTTCCTTTCCTTTTTCGTAGGCTTTCTTTGTTAATATGCTACCATTTGGGGTTTTCTTGTGCCTCCATTATTTCAGTGATTTCAGTTTTGTGTAAGTGGCTGATTTTTGTGATGTGCTTACATTTTTAGTTTAGATTATTTTGAGTATTTTGATTTTTTTATGCTTTCTGTGTTCAATGTTGTTTTGTTTTTGGATATTTCAGCCTCTGGGATAGAGAAATGAAGCTCGTGTGTCTGGTAAATATTCATTTCTGTGCACTAGCACCTGTAAAGCTTCCACTGTATTGAGTTAATCAGTTGTGTTGGCTTTTTTAATTTCTCAAGCACACCAACCATCCCTGGGGATAGTTCAGTTGATGTAGTTTTCCTTTTCACTTACTCTTTTTTTTTACCTTTCTTGACATTTGTTAGGGATAAAATTATATCTTCCTTTGTGATAAGTAAAAACCACGTTTCCAAACTTGTTGGGCTCTTCTGATATATCTTGCCTTGTTAGGACTTGTCATTATTGTAAATAGCATTGCTTTATAGATTTTATTCATATTCTACAGTGACTTTTGTTCTTCTTGCTGCAACATAAATGCTGGTGAAGGTTTTTAAGCAAACTTAAACTATAAATTAGAATTACTTGTTTATCTTTACTTTAAGAATTCTTGCAAGAGGATGGTTCAGGGGTGGGCCAGTATTGTTTGCTTTTTCTGCTTTTACATAAATTATACTGTTACGTCCATGGAAGGCTTGTACCCAATGAAACTGCTAATTCTTTGTGGATTTGTCTCACATAATTCGACAAGGAAGCTGCCGTTTTCACATACAACCTTACAAACATAAAACCCTGAAAACATTCATTGTGAGTGTGAGATGTAAAACAGCAGGTTAAGTAAACTGTATATTTTCTGTTGCTGTTATGTGTGCTTCAAGAGCCTTTTGAAAGGGAGTCTGTTTTTTTATTTATTTATTTTTTCATTTTTTATTGTTATTTTTGTAATAGGGGGAGGGAAGGGGGTTAACTGTCTCACCTTTATTTTGCCAACTTGACAGTACTTCCTGTCTTTTGGGAACTGAAATAAACTGGCCTAATGACATTTTGTTGAATATTTAAGTAATGAAACTTTTTATCTTATTATTATTTTACACTCACATTCAAGCCTATGTCTCCAGTATCGGCGCTACCCCGCAGTGGCAGTGATGGTGGCCTCTTTGCCAGGTTCAAGCGCTCTTGTCTATCACGACCCTCGACTTCATCATCTCTCAACATTGCTGCGCTTGTTAGCCCTTCGGAGGAACTTGTCCCTCCACCTACCCTGGATTCAGTCAATATGAACGCAGGTACTCCGTCACTACATTCCATCGAAACAAATGTTGGAGCACTGACTCTGAATTCTGACAAAACAGGTACAGGTTTGTGTTTAAGTAAAGAGAAGGATTTCTTTGAGCCGGGCACGTCTGCTCAAAATGACTACATGCATAGTACAAAAGTGAAATGTGCAAATCATGATGTGAATGGGCTTAGTAGCAGTGAAGGTCATAATGTAAATGAGATAAACAGCACCGTACATGATAGTGTGGATAAAACAAATAGCAGTGTACATTATGATGTGAGGAAGACAAATAGCAGTGTACATCAGAATGTGAAAGAGAGAAATGACAGCGTTCTGAATGATAAAAATGAGACAAATGTCGGTGTTTTAGTTGATGTGAATGAGACAAATAGCTGTTTGCATAATGATGTGAGTGTGACAGAGGTCACTGCCAGTTTTGCTGAAACTACTTCACCGATTACCAGTGTGCCTGCTGTATCCATTCATATTGACGAACAAAGTGACGTCACAGACTTGAAACAAAGCTAGGCAGAGCTGATGTGATGACATATCATAATTGTGCAGTAATTGTTGCTGTTTCATTTTTTTAGTCAGATATTTTACATTCCTCAAGAGTGACAAATTTGAAAATATTTATTGCAAACAAAGATGGTGCAGTGCAATGCTTTTCGTGTGCTTCAGAATGGATTTATCCTGCTTTTTACTGAGCAACTTCTTATTTAGGTTGTGAAGAATACTGTCAGAATTTCCAGTTTGTAAAGAATGCTTATTTTGGATGCGGAAGATAGCAGTGTAAATATTGTGCAATAGTGAAAGTTTGGTGGAATCGCCTCACTAAGAAATGATTGATTTCATGGGAAACTGTTAATTTGTTGTGCTCAGTTTAGTTTTAAAGTAATTTTTTTCTACTCTTGTGTTACAGATATTTCTTTTATTGGGACCATTTTCTCTCTGTGGGTGTCAATTTTGATGTTGAATAAGTTCTGAATGTCTTTACTCTTTATATGCTTTGTTTGTAATTCATGTTTCAAAGTGGTTCCCTAACAATGCAGGCAAAATCACTTTCCTCCCATTGAGGAGGGCACACTTTAAGCCTGGGTGCTTTATTTGTCAGTGGCCTTTATTTTGATGTATGTGGGAAGTGTTTTTGTGCTTGCAGATTGCAGGGGAGAGCTTTTGTATATGTTTTGGAAATCTTTGAAAGGTTAAAAGAGTGGTTCTAATCTTCATTGTCGGTCATGTTGAATGTTGTCAGTTTGAACTGTACACATGCAGTTTATATGCATATATGTTTAAACATAATCTTTCACTCCTTCACTCCCTTTCCCTTTATGGCTTAAAGAGCAAGAGGTGGTCACCATTAGAATGCTTAAATCAAAAGGCATGGGACATTGACCTGTATTGTACGTTAGATCTTTTTGTTGCTGAGACGTTATTTTAACTGCCAGTCATTTTTTCACAACCAGTGTCCAGATGTTTCTTTCCTTTTATACACTAAAAAAAAAGAAGAAAAAATTTGCCGACTGTGATAGTTCACCATTAGAGTCTTTGTTTCTTGAAGGACCATGAGCTAGATTTACATCACCACATGCTGATGCATGTGTTCGGGGCACTCGAGTCAATAGCGATAAGCTTCTGTTTGTAGCCAGCTGCGACAAGTATTCAGTCTTTTGTTTAGAATTGCTTCACTTGATGCCAACGGATACATTTGGCTGGGGCAACTGCTGGAGTTTTCAGGGTTTAAATGAGCTAAAAAGAAATATTCTGGTCTCCAGAATTTTACCCAATTGCATAAATTTCCACCATGAATATACATAAAAAAGGGAGGGTGCTTTCTTTCTTTTTGTTCCTTTCATTTCGATGCTGATGTAATGTCCTTAACTTCTCTGTTTCTTGTCATTGTTTGAAAGTCTTTGAGTTCCATGGCTCTATCAGTGAAGAACAATCCCTCTCTTCCCTGACTTGAGAGGGGGTGTTATCTGAGCCACATTGAATTTGATTTTGGCAGCAATTGTCTTCAAAGACATGTGTGTGTGCCTAAAGAAAAGTACTAAGAGTCATATATTGACCATTTTGAGTTAAGGGTTGTACCTTATAGGAAATTCAATGCTGAACACAGGGTTTAAAAAATTTTTTTTAGACATCTCAAGTAGTTATTGAGATATTGCACATTTTGCGAGGTAGGGTATAAAAATATGATTTTGAGAAAATGAGCTTTTTAGTTTAACAAACGTGAGAACACATACAAACTTTTTAAAAAGATGATTTTCTAAATGTATTTTTTCATAGAAAATTCATTTCCAATTTGGCATTTAGTTGACATCGATTTTATGAATGGAATTCAATGGTAAAACAAAGCAGGGAAGAGAAAACGTGCTTCAACAATAGATTTTAAGACCTTTTAAGAGCAGTTTTCATTATAACCTTCCCTCAAAATAATTCAAAATAAAACGTTTAGAAATCAAATCAATGAAATCCCTTTGAGCACCTTGTAAAAAAATGTTGGATTCATCATTTTTTTTTTTTTGGAAACACATTTTGGTCAAAAAAGTGATTTTTGTCATCATCCGCCTGTAGCTCGAAACAGTCTGGGGCGACTTTTGGTACCTTTCTTTGGGCGCACACACATATAATGGTTTGATATTTGAAAATGGTGAGACAGTTGTTCATAAGAATTATTTCCAGTACCTATCACTTCTAACAGTATAGGAAAAAAATTTTTTGGATATTAAATGCAACTCTTACGATATGCTGTATCCATGAATGCGAAATATATGTGTGTGACTGGAGACAGGCCCCAGTTGTGTGCAAAGCTATTTTTAAGAAATAGGGTGAAAAGCCAGAAAAAGTCTTATCTGGTCGAACATTTAGTTTCTTCAGAAAACGCACGTTTAACCATTTCTTTATAATACATTGAAAGAATTTTTTGAATATTTAAAGTCTAAGTATTTTTTACAATGATTTTTGCATCCTGTTGTACTTCACCAAAGGTTAATATGTTCTAGAAACTGGGTCAACATACAAAGGTTAAAACGATTTTTCTCCAAATTTTGGTTTTACACCCTGTGTTACAAAATGTGACACATCATTATCTTTAAAACTACTCCAAATTTTCTTTAAATCAGCATGGTCAGCATTGAATTTGCTACAAGAATGTGCCCTTATGTCAATAGTGAAAATTTAGAGAACTGGGACCTTTCTTCAGGCTCACACACATGGTATGTAGACCAGGGCCTTGAGTCTATGAGATAGTAAATTGTGTTGAGATATTTTGTGCTTGTTTGTGATTCAAAGCTCGTGACTAATGCTCCCAGAAGTTGCTCATTACATTTCATTATAAGTGTTTTGTTAACTTGATGAATGTTTTGTGTATGTGATTTTTTTTTGCTTTTCAAATTCTTTTTGTTATGAATTTTTCTCTCACCTTTGATACACTTATAAAGCAGCTATGTGATACATGTATGTACAAGTACTCTCGCAAAAAAAAAAAAAAAAGACCTTTGATATTTCTGTATTAACTGCTCGATATTTGCTTTTAAAAGTAAAATAAAACCATTGTGTAGCCTAATGAATATAGAAATGCTACTGCTCTGAAAGTTTGAGGAAAAAGAGTGTTGAAAATTTTTATCTAATAAATTTGCTAAGTAGTTATAATTTGTGTCTTGTATTTACTTTTTTTTCCACTTAACAATCTGGTAAGTTCTGCAAAACTTGACTTATGATGTCATGGCAGCTTGTGGCTTAAGTAATCTAACTGTATAAACCAATATGGACTTGGCCTGTGAAGCTATGTTTTAATATGCTGTGTTCAAAGATGCTGTGATGTCATTTTTTTATATTCAGGTTTACATATGTTTGTGAATATACTTAATTTATGTCTAAGTATATATATATACATGCATCTATGTGAATATATGTATAAGTGAGCGCGCGTGTGTGTGTGTGTGTGTGTGTGTATGTGTGTGTGTGTGTGTGTGTGTGTCTGTCTATGCATGTGTGTGTGAGTATGTATGTGTATGTGTGTGTGTGTGAGTGTGCTTGCCTGTCAATTCATTACATTCGAAAGGTGTAAATATTTCACATTTTGCATGCTTTCCCCCACCTCATGATGTCCCAAATCTTGATACCATGATATTAGAATAAGTTGATTTCTATCATATTCTAAAATATTTAGGTATTATTTATGAAAACTGTCACTTTCACTGGGTTTTTTAATGTTGGTATTTCAGAGCCTAGAGATATGATTCTTCTTTTACCTTTGATTTTTAAATAATATTTTTTTCCTTTATTCAGTAGAATCTCATGTGAATTGAAAGTGCTAGGAGCCACAGACCTTAGCAATAATGGTAGACTTTAGGGTCCCCCTTTTTGTCTTTTTGTGCTCCATTATGATTAACTGCGCTACTCATAATACTCATATATGGCATTTCTATAGAGCAAATTTCCACTGTGGATGGTTGGCAGGTGCTCTGTTGTGGTTTGCTCCATCTTTTCTTTCAAACATCTATCATCCTTATCCTTCCTCCTTCTTTTTTGTGTTTTGTTACTCTCTTGTAACACCTCTAATCTTCAGCATTTATATGACCTGATTATGTTGCTAGTTCAGTAAAACTCTTACTAAAACAAAACAAAACAAATTTCCAATCAACAAGAAGATCTAGACACTTTATGATCTATAATATTATATTAGCAGACTTAATAGCTTTCTGAGACAATCTCTAGTTCCTAGGAAGCTTTACAGTGCAACTGTATAGGATGAAAGATTCTGAAACATCAAGAGAGTTAACTGTGTGTTTACCCCAGGAGACCTCCACCTCTTTAAATTGCAAATATCTTGACTTATATTCAAGATAGTTGAGTATTTTTATCATCAAAACAAGGCGAATGAACAAGGTTTTAGATCATACCTTAACTCCATATGCCCAAAACTTGACAAGCACCTAATCTCACTGTGTCATGACACATAATATTATATGTTGTGATAAAAATCTCCACATTTTCAGAGCGAGTACCGGTACACGTTATTAATGTTGTGTTTGGTTCTCATTGAAATCAATCAATATTAAGTGTCAAGCAATCCGAAAAACGAAGGGATTGCTTCCACCTTATGGTCCCTAATCTAAAAATGTCCCTGACCCCATTACGATTTTACCGACCTCTCGTAACCTAGACCTAGTTTTGTCACCACTGTCATTGATATTATTTTTCTCTGTCGTATTTTCTTTAATTCTCCTACTTCTTTTTCCTGTGCTCTGGCTCGAGGATTCCTTCTTTATCAGGAGTGCTTATGTCTAGCAGGTTGGGAGGTGGGGTGGGTTGCCTGACCAAACCAACACAGCCCAATTGTTTAGGTCCTTGGGTATGGCACGTTATATGTGCTTGTTTGTCTTTTTGATACTATATTTTGTTCGTCGTTGTTTATATAAATATGCTAAGCTCTTTTGAGATGGAAGCTCAGATGTGCTCTTGTTCATGTATATATATATATATGTGCATAAGTTGTGTGTATGGGTGAGTGCAACTAACACTCAGTTGTAATATCCACTGCCATTGCAAACGACGAAAACAAACTTCTCCCTGTGAGATGAATATAGATTGTCATTGTCATAGAGAAGTGTAACGTGTAGTAGGAAAACATTCTGGTCTGTTATGTGAGGAATTGAGCTGAAGTGGAAATATCTATAATTTTTTTCAACTCTACGTGGGTAAGATATCTGTGTGAGTCAGAAGGCTCTTGACTATCTTTCTTGCTGGTCTGTGTTAGCCCCTGCAAAAGGAAATGTGTTAGAGCTGAGTTTGTTTTGTCTGCTTTATTTGATCTCCAAGATATGTTGTTGGTAAAGGATGTCTTTTTACAGGCCACTCTACTTAAGTAACTTTATCGCATGTAGCAAAATTAAGCTTAAAGTCAAATTAACTAGATTTTGCATGTACTGACTGCATTTACATATTGGCACTGACTGTAGATTTGAATTCTATTCACCCTTGTAAAGGTGTGCTTGTCTTAGGTTTCATCAGCAAATGGTTTTTAATGTTTTGTTTTATCTTGTTTTTATTTTATTTTTATTTTTTTGTTCAGTGTTTGTATGAGACTAAAGACAGTGAAAATAAAGTAGAGGCAACAGAAATATGGTTTCTTGAGAGACTGCTGAGAATATTGTTGAAGGAAAAGAAATCAAATGAGGTAGTTTTTGATGAAGCCCACGTGGGACTATCACCGTTAAGAACTATCAGGAAACGACAAATGCAGTTTTTGGGACACCTGAATTGACATAAAGGCCTTGAACATATAGCTCTCACTTGCAAAATTGAAGGCAAATGAGGTAGGGGTAGGCCCAGAGCAACCTACATAGGGAACCTAAACAAATGGGTAATGGGGAAAGAAATGGGGAAAGATCAGGGAAACGTAACTTTTTTAAGAGCATCCAAGCAAAAGAATGAAAGGAGAACCATGATCGCCCATGTCTGTCGCAGATCTGGCACTAGATGATGATGATTGTTTAAGTGA